TCTTAGACAACTGCCCAGGATGTGTTTAGACGTTGCCAGGAGGATGTTGAATGTTTCTGGGAAGGAATCGTTTTCTGCGGGTCAGGCGGCCCTCCTGAGTGCTGGGTTGCGTCAGGCCCACTGGACGACCAGTCGAGCATCTACAGCAGGTTGTGCCATTGAGGACCGCTGCCCATTGCGTGGATTGGCAGGAGGCGCGCTTGTGCACAGGCTGTTCCACTGCCAGTCCGAGGAGGCCGCGACCCTCAGAAGCGACTTGCTCGATGATGCCTCACTAGCGAAGTGCGTTGAGCAAGCCGAACATAGCTTAACATTCTTGCTAGGAGTTATTTCCAACCTTACCTCCGGCCCTGATGCTTTCCCTCCCCCTGCTAATGAGTTCGCGATGGACGTTAGGGTGGTAGGAGAAGGTGCAGGTGTCTTAGGGTGCCAAACTTGTAAACTAGGGTCCCACGCGGGCTCAGATGGCACGTGTGCGAGGTCTGGCTTTGAATGTCTAGAGAGGGTTACTTGGGCGGTCTGCGAGTTTTCGGAGGAGGAGGAGCTCGAGGTTGCAATGTTGGGCCCAGTTGTTTCCCCCTCGTCGCAGACCCCATAGGCGGCCGAGCGCTTAGGATTCTTAAGTTTGCAACAGATGCTGACGCAAGAATCCACCGCCCATGTCGACTGCAAGGCTGTGCTTGACGGAGATCACAAGCCTTTATCTGCCAGGCTATCGCATAGGAGCATGTACGCAGGCACATGTCGCACGGCGCTCGGAAGTGATAGTAGACATTTGCTCAGCGCCGCCGCGAAGGTTAAAGCGCATCAGGACGAAGACAAAGTTCGGCCTGAAGATATGTTGCCATAGCATATCAACGAGAAGTGTGATCAGTTTGCTAAGTCGGCCCTCGATGTGCACCCGTCGCTTGACCCGTTGTCGCGGTCGTCGTTGGTGGAAATGAAAGAGGACGCCGCTAGCATTCTGAAGTTCATCCTGGGGGCGCTTGGGGCTTGGCCCAGGCACCCCAGGTCTGAACGATGGTGTAAGTCCGATCAGTATAACATACAGCTTCAGCTAGTGCACGACTGGCAGAGAGCTGAGCACGTTGCGCGGCGCTGCGCAGCGTGTTTCGCATTTAGCATTCCGACGACGCTGTCTCGAGGCGACGCACTGAGCCGTGCGCCCCTTTTTCGGGCGAGTTCCGTGAGCGCCTAAGACAGGCGCACCCCTCGCGTGCCCGCTCCGTTGGCCCTTGTGATGATGGCGTTTTGATTTTCTGTGCGAGGCGCGGCAATCATGCATTTTTTTGTCTTCTGGAGGAATGCAAAGGGCCTCCAAAGAGTGGTGCAAGCTACATGGCCCGCAAGAGGCTGTTCGATGGTCTGCATCCCGTTGACGGGAAGCCGTTTCGCGACATCGAGCTCGTTCAGGCATTCCAGAAACACCAGAAGGCCAGGGCCTCCAGCAACAGAGGCTGAATGCCATTGTGTTCGCCGGCTCCGGAGCGGCGCACCTCCTGCCCATGAGTGAAAAAGTGCCCCCATAGGGGGCTCTGCCGAAGGCCCCAGCGGCTGCGCCCGCATGCCCCCCCACCACCCATTTCGGCGCACCCGTCGCGCGCTTCGTGGCCCCATAGGGGGCTCCGCCGAAGGCCCCAGTGGCTGCGCCCGCGTGCCTCGCCCACCATTGATTTCAGCACACCCCTCGCACGTTTCGTGGCTCCTTAGGAGCTCCACCGAAGGCCCCAGCGGCTGCGCCCTCATGCCCCCCCCCCCCACACGCGCACACGCACACACGCGCGCACACACACACGCGCACACGCGCGCACGCACGCGCACGCGCACACGCACACGCACACGCACACGCACACGCACACGCACACGCACACACACACACACACACACACACACACACACACGCGCGCACGCACGCACGCACGCACGCACGCACGCACGCACGCCGCACACACACACACAACACACACACACACAGACACACACACACACACACACGCCCACTTCGGTTCACCCCTCACACGCGTCGTGGCCCCATAGGGCCATAGGGAACTCTACCGAAGGCCTCGGTTGGCCTCATAGAAAGCCCAACCACAGGCCCCAGTGGCTGAGCCAGCATGCCTCCCCCACGCCAACTTCGGCACACCCCTCACACGTTTCGTGGCCCCATAGGGAGGCCCTGTGGCTGCGCCCGCATGCCTCCCCTCCCCCGTGATTGATTTTGGCACCCCTCACGCGCTTCGTGGCCCCATAAAGAGCTCCACCGAAGGCCCCAGTGGTTGCGCCCGCATGCCCCCGCCACCATCGATTTCGGCACACCCCTCGCAAGCTTCGTGGCCTTATAGGGGGTTCCACCGCAGGCCGTAGTGGCTGCGCCCGCATGCTTCCCCACCGGCCATTCCGGCGCACCCATCACACGCTTCGTGGCCCAATCGGAGGCTCCACCGAAGGCCGCAGTGGCTGCGCCCGCATGTCCCCCCCACCACCCACTTCGGCACACCCCTCACGCGCTCCATGGCCCCATCGGGAGCTCCACCGGAGGCCCCAGTGGTTGCGCCCTCATGTCCTCCCGCCACCCATTTCGGCACACCCCTCACACGCTTCGTGGCCCCATAGGGAGTTCAACCGAAGGTCCCAGTGGCTGTTCCCGCATGCCCCCCCCCCTCTGCCATTGATTTCGGTACACCCCTCAGACGCTTTTTGGCCTCATTGGGAGCTAGCTCCACCGAGAGCGCAAGTGGCTGTTCCCGGTTCTTTCCCCACGACCCATTTTGGCACACCCCTTATACGCTTCGTGGCCCCATAGGGAGCTCCGTTGAAAACCTCAGTGGTTGCGCCCGCATGCCTCCCCCCCACCCATTTCGGCACACCCCTCACACGCTTCGTGGCCCCATGGGGAGCTCCGCTGAAGGCCCCAGTGGTTGCGCCCGCATGCGTCCCCACCACCCACTTCGGCACACCCGTCACACGCTTTGAGGCCCCATAGCGATCTCCACCGAAGATCTCATTGGCTGCGCCCGCATGCCGCTCCCAGACCATTTTGGCACTTCCTGCGTGTCCAATAGCAGGTCCCAAGAACGCGCTGATGCTGATGTGGTGGCTCGCCCCACTGAGCCTTCCTCCTCCGCCAGCCACCCCCTGCCCGCGCTGCCCTGCGCCTCGTCCATGCAGAGGCGCGGTGCCCACGAGAAGAGGGTCCATGCCTGGCGCTACATTGTAATTTGGTACTCGCAGCTGCACATGGTTGGGTCCTTCGCCAGGCTACTTCCCTGTTTGTGTTGCTCTTGGGCCTCCTAGTGGCCACAGCAGGACATAGCACGAGAGATACCGGTCAGGGCCGGTGTGCAGGCGCGGTCAGGGAATGGGCCCCCCCCCCGCCCCATCGAGGAAGGTATCAAAGGGAAGTGGGCTTCCCGCCGGCTCGATCACCCCTGTCGCGGTCTCCCCTTGGCCTGCGCGCGCGGGGGGAGGAGGACGGTCCAGGCTGGCCGCAGGGAACAGGGGGGAAGAGCTTCAGATGGACAGGGCCGGCGGATTCCAGGCCCAGCCTTGTGTAGCGGGCGAAGAAGGACAGACAGACAGAAACCTTGCGTCCAGGTGGACGCGTTGGCAGGAAGGTGTGAACAAACGCCATTAGAAACGCTCGAAGCACAGAGGTGTGAGCAAACGCCACACGAAAAAACACGGAGGTGTGACACAACGCCATACCTAAGGATGACGGCGGTAGCTGCATCACAGAACCTGTTCCGCGACGGTGCAGGCTTCGCAGCCGCCCTGGGGCAGCCTTGAGGTCCGACGTAGCAGAGGAGTTCAAGTCACAAGACATCGCAGCTGGAGTCCCGGACCAGTTCTCAGAGCATGAATTACCTACCCCGCTTTCGCTTCCAGGCAAAACCAAGCCATACCACGCGCCTCCTCGTCAAGCGGCCTGATCAGTACAGGCTGCAATTTGGCATCGTTTGGTATCTCTTGGAAGCGAGGGTGGTCAAAAGCGAGGGAGGTTTGTTTTCCCCCTAAGTTCTTCTGCTGCAGCTTTCGAGCGGGATCGACCTATGACTGTTCGGAGGCCCGACGCCGGGCGAAGACGCCCGGCGTCAGACAGCTGCAGCGCCAAGACCCGAGGGAAGTGCCCCCAATCGCGGAACATCTGATTATATGTTGTTGTCGGCCGTTGATTCGTGAGCCTGTGCCGAGCGCAGCATTTTCGCCGAAATCCATCGGGGCAGTTTTCGGGACAACCATCGGAGCAACCGTCGGGACGCCCGTCGGGACGCCCATCGGGACAACCGCAGGACCACCGTTGGACAACCGCAGCACAACCGCGGGGCAACCACGAGACAACCAGCCACGAGATGTTCGTGGGACAACCACGGGCTTGATGCGCCAACTGGACGGGAGGAGAGTTTTTCGCCGTAGCAGCGGCGGGAGCACTCCTCTCGCCCGTTCACGCAGCTTCGCTTCGCCCGCGCGCGCGGCACGAACACGAAACCGAAACCGATTTCTCAGTGGGGCCTTCGTTGCATGTCGATCGCACCCACCAACATCCGATGAGTAGACTTGAGCATGGGTGGGCGTGTATGAGGTTGAGTGGATATGAGTGTGACTGCGTCTGAAAAGGTCTGGGCATAAGCGAGTCTGAGTTTGGGTGAGTCTGAACTTGAGTTAGTTTGAGCGTTGATCAGCTTATGACTGGGTCGGAGTATGAGTGAATCTGATAATGTCTAAGTAGGAACATGATTTAGTTTGAGTATGGGTTAGTCTGATTACGTGAGAGTCTAAATCCGAGTAAGTCTTGGGATGGAAGGGATGACGTTGGAGGAGTGAAGCGAAGGGGTCTCACGAATTCAATAGAAGTAATGTGATGACATTATATATGACGGCTCAAGAAAGAGAGTAGGTTCAAGGAGGGGGAAGGGCGGGCGGGAGGAAGAGCAGGAGCATGAAGAGGGGAGGATGACATGCGCAGGGGAGACGTTCATGCACAAGGCTTTCTCTGCCCGAAGGTTGGGACCACCCTGTCTCCAGAGCAGCGTCAGCAGGCCCACTTTTCGAAGTTCGCGGCGGAATTCGTCGTGGAGCTGAACATGACCGAGGCAACCAGCGGGGGCGACGAAAGGGAAGTATTAGTTCGGGAAGGACCCTGAGACCCGACGTTGCAAAATTAGCCTGGCGAAGGACCCAACCATATGCAGTTGTGAGTACTGTCGTTGTGTGCTCCGCATTCGGAGGAGCTCCCTTTTAGGGCCACGAAATGTGTGAGGGGTGTGCCAAAAGTTGTCCGGTGGGAGCATACGAAAGCAGCCATTGGGGCCGTCGGTAGAGTTCCTTATGGGGCCACGAAACGCGTGAGAGGTGTGCCGAAATAGGTGCGGTGGGCGCATGCGAATGCAGCCACTGGGGCCGTCGGTGGAGCTCCCTATGGGGCAGCGAAAGGTGATGGGTGTGCCGAAATGGGTGCGATGGGCGCATGTGAACGCAGCCACTGGCGCCGTCGGTGGAGCTCCCTATGGGGCCACGAAACACGTGAGGGGTGTGCTGGAATGTGCATGGGTGACGCATTCGGGCGGTGGCACCGGGGCCTTCGTTGGAGCTCTTTCTAGGGCCACGAAACGTGGGAAGGGTGTGACGACATGGGTGTGGGTGACGCATGCGGGCGGTGGTACTGGCGCCTTCGGTGGAGCTCCCTATGGGGCCACAAAACGTGTGAGGGGGGTTCCGAAATGGGGCGGCGCCGCCATGCGAACTGCGCCACTGGGACCTTAGGTGGAGCTCCGTATGGGGCCACGAAGCGTGTGAGAGGAGTGCCAAACTGAGGCGGCGCAGCCATGCGCAGCTTGCCACTGGGACCTTAGGTGGAGCTCCCTATCTGTGCCCACGAAACATGCGAGGGGTGTGACGAAAGGGGGCGGCGCCGCCATGCAAACTGCGCCATGGGGCCCTTAGGTGGAGCTCCCTATGGGGCCACGGACCGTGTGAGAGGAGTGCCAGAATGGTCTGGCCTTCCATGCGAACTGCACCACTGGGACCTTAGATGTAGCTCCCTATGGGGCCACGAAACGTGTGAGGGGTGCGCCAAAATGGGGCGGCGCCGCCATGCGAACTGCACCACTGGGACCTTAAATGGAGCTCCCTATGGAGCCACGAAACGTGTGAGGGGTGCGCCAAAATGGGGCGGCGCCGCCATGCGAACTGCACCTCTGGGACCTTAAGTGGAGCTCCGTATGGGGCCACGAAACGTGTGAGGGGTGTGCCAAAATGGGGCGGCGCCGCCATGCGAACTGCACCACTGGGACCTTAAGTGGAGCTCCGTATGGGGCCACGAAACGTGTGAGGGGTGTGCCAAAATGGGGCGGCGCCCCCATGCGAACTGCGCCACTGGGACCTGAGGTGGAGCTCCCTATGGGGCCACGAACCGTGTGAGGGGTGCGCCAAATTGAGGGTGACGAGAGGAGAGAGGAGGGGGAAGGAGGAAGGAGAGGAGGAGGAGGGAGGAGAGGAGGATGAGTGAGCCGCGGGGCCCTGTCTCTTCAAAACGAGGACCCGACACCATAGGATGGTTGGGAAAAACATCAATATCGTAAAACAAAAAAATACGCCCGGAGCCCCGCACACCATTTTTGCGCGCCATCTGTTCGAACCCGATCGATCTGTGAGGGTCCTGGGGTCCGACACGGGGCCAAAACGCCCGTTGTGAAAAAAATGCAGCGCCAGGACCTCGGGTCAGGGAAGGAAAAACCACATGGACCCGATAATTGGCGTTTACTGGACGGCTCTGGGCGTGTACTGAACAGCCCTGCCCTGTTCGATTCCTGCTTTGGGTGCGTTCACTAAACGGCTTCGCGTGTCGGGGGGATTGTTACGGGGGGGGGATGTTGTTTTCTCTATATCGGGGGACAGCGGCCCCGAACCGCCCATCCATCTCCGAGCGGGGCTCGGGTGCCCCATCCTGCCCAGGAACATCCGGCTCCACCAGCGGAGACCCAGACAGTCACCCCGCACAGTAAAGATGAGCAACCTTCCCGAGGGTACCCATCGGTCGTTGAAAGTAGGTGTTTTCGGATGCCCAGATGACAATCTACTTTATAAGCGCTGTCCTACTTCAATTATCGGTTGGCTTCATCTTTTCCGTCCTCTTTAGGGGGCGGGCGGACACCCACTCTATTTTCAACGCCTTCCTACGTCATGTTTCTACCTACTTCTTCCGACCGATCCCTCGGAACCCGAAGAGAACGACCTATATCCTATATCCCTATCCAGGGGGCAAACCAGTCAGTGGGGCCCAGGCCACGCCGCTGGGGGGATGGGGGATCTGCCACAGGCGACGGGCCGCGACGGGCGGCGACGAGGCGGCGACGGCGGCCACATGGCGGGCAGAGCGGTCCGCAGACCGAGTTCCTGAGAGAAGAGGCGCGAGCACCTCGGCGCAGGCATTGCTTGTTGGAAGTGCACGCGATGCCGGGGGGAAGCTCGGGGAGCCTCTGCGGGCCAGAGGCTTTTCGGAGGGCCCTCTCGGGATGTCTCTCGGGCTGCCTCTCGGGGTCTCTCCTGGGGGCTTCTCGCCTCGGGGGCCTCCTGGACCCTTCCTTTTGGATGTCGTGGAGCCTCTTCGCGGTCTCCACAGCACGTCGGGGCGTCCTGGGGGCGTCTTGGTTGTCTCTCGGAGGCCTCTTGGGGCCTCCAGGTGCCCCCGCGTGGGGCCGTCTTGGGGGTCTCTTGGAGCTTCTCGGGCCGTCTTGGGGCGATTGTGGCGGCCATCGGTCAAAGCAGAGGATGTCCTCAATTATGGTCGCCCCCCCAGGAGACCAACATTGGCCCAAAGCCTCATAAACATTGGTTGTCTTCTCGCTTAGGTATTCTTGGACGTGTTAACGACCGGCGACCCACCCCTGCCAGACCCAATGGGAAGGAGTAGGGGGAGGGATCAAGCTTTCTTCCTCTCCCGCAAGCTGTCTCGCTCACTCCAACCCGCCCTCCCAACACATTAGTAACACCCGAGTCTCAGCATATTATGCCTAGGAGCGCTCGCCAGTGGTTCGTCCATAAACCAATGCAAAGCTCTATTGTGTTGTTTGTGACGGAAATTGTTACCTGCGCGCGGCAAGCAATATATCGGTACCCCCGCCGCCTCATCAAGAACCGATGCTACGTTGTTTGTGACGGGGCTTGTTATCTTGCGCGCGGCTAGCAATATGTTGGCACCCCCGCCGCCCCTGTCAAAACCGATGCAACGTGGCAGCGGGGCACCCGCGAATGCTCCAGATGTGGAGGCAAAGTGCATTAAAGTATTATTTTTCACAGGGATGGTCGGCCTGCGCGCAGCATGTAAAATGCCAGCACCCCCGCCGTCCCTGCGAACAAACAAATACAAAGTGGTCGTGGGGCGCCCGTGCATGCGCGGGGTTCGGATGCAACGTGCATTTTGTATTGTTTTTTGACGCGGATGGCTTGCTTGCGCGCAGCAAACAGTATGCCGGCACCCCCGCCGTCCCTTTGAAAAACCATTGCGATGTGGTCGCGTGGCGCCCGCGCATGCTCGGGATTCGGAGGCAAAGTGTTGTTGTATTGTTCTTTTCTTGACTGGGATTTTAGGGGGGGTCGCATGGGTCAGGGTCGGCTGCCAGTCGTGCGGTAGCGGGGGTGTTCATGAATGGGGGACAGTGATCACGCTACCCCGCCGCGAATCGGCGGCGAGCGAGGGGGGGAAGTGAGAATAGGCGGGCCTTCTCAGAAGGCTCGGAAGTCCCTTGGCTTCCTGAGCAATATTCTAAGCCTTCCCCCAAGATGCAGAAAACTTCAGAAGGCGCGTGGGTTTCTGATAAGTCCCGCCGCCTTCTGAGATGGCCTTTTCTTTTTCATTTTCCCCCCTCGCTTGCCGCCTACCGAAGCACGGCCGTCGCGCTCTCTTCCACCCGCACTCCGTTCATTTGAGTAGCACTCGAGTCTCCGCATGGGCAGGGATCGTCATCGAGACAGTCGTCGGGAGCCCATGCAGACGCCAGCCCCAGGTGCGCCTCGCCCGCGAGGTGCGCCGCGGGCCAGGGCCACTTTTCCATCATCGTGCCAGATCACGGTGCAAAGTGATCGCGGGGCGCCCGCGCAATGTCAGGATGGTGCCGCAACCCGTTTGTGGTACTGTCAACCCGCATAGCAAGGATGTGCAACCTTCCCAAGGGGACCCTTGCATCCCTTCCTCCTCGGCCCATCGTTGGCCACCTTCGTTGGCCGCGCCCCGCTCGGAAAGCTTCGGGCTGGCCGTCCAAGACCCCTGCCTCCGTATCGCGGATCCTTGTGACACTGGCTGGTTGCATGGCCTCTTGATAGGGGTGGCGGGCCTGCGCACGGCAGGCAACGTGTTGCCCTTCCCCCCCTCGCCCCCGCCAGAAGGCGGCGCAGAGTGATCGCCGATGTGCCAGCACACGGTCCAGAGGTTGCCTCCGCGTGCACTTGTCGGCATCGTTCAGCCGATCCCCCATCCCCGTCCCCGTCTCCCTCCAGACCCCCACCGTCTCAGCGCATCGGCTGGGGAGATACCCCTCAGAACCCGACGGGAGCGGCCCACATATCCCCATCTGGGGGGTCAAGCGGCCATCGGGGCCCGGGCCACGCTCATGGGGACAGGGGTCGGCTAGGCGATGCCAGATGTAGTTGTTTGTTGACTCTTGGCGGAGATCGTGGGGGCGGCGCCGTCGTGGGACACTGGGCTCGCCCCCCCCCCCCCCGGTCGGGTGGGGGACGGGGGCCGTACACTGTTGCGGAGCAGTCGGGAGTGGACAGAACCCCCAACAGTGACACGTCGATTAGTGAATTGTCCGTTTTCGGTTCTCGAGAGGGCGCCGTGGCCGTTATTTTCCAGGCTTGCGCCCGCCAGGTTTGGGCCTCAGGTCGTTTTCACTAAACCACGTTTTACTAAAGGGGGGTTTGTCCATCCCCGAAGCAGTGATGCAGTTCACCAGCGAAACATGACGTACACGTACATGAATCCACATTGGTTTCGAGAGTACGTATTGCGCGAACGTTCGTCTCACGCGGCCGACCTCGCGGATTAGGGGACAGTGTTCATGCACGTGGTTGGGCGCGTACGTCCTTCTTGCGTTCCCTAACGGTGGGGGTCCATGCCAAGAAACACCCTGCTTGTCTCCAGGGTACCCTGGGTTTCTTGCGTATGGATGGTCTTGCGACGGAAGCCACGACGTCTCCCACGCCAAAAACCAAACCCGTGGACGTCCTGGGGTCTCAGAGTTGGGTTTCTTGTAGAAGGTTTTTGTGGACTGGCCTCAGTTGTAGGCCCCTCCCAGAAGGGGAAGAGGGGGGCGATTCGAGGCTCCAGAGACGGGGGTCAAAATGCAAACGGAGGTCAGTCGGAGAGCCGGATCTTGCAGGATCCTGCAGGGCCAGGGCTGCATTGACCCAGGCCTGCGTCACGAAGCTTACAGGATTCTGCAAAGCCCGACTGACCCGGGTCTGGATATGGTCCAGGTCAGTAGATCCCCGAACGATTGAAGAGGACTTTTCCTAAACCGCTCACGTCCTACAAGGGCTGGTGGGACTCTGGGCGTTGGCTGGGCTGCCTCGCCAGCCTGCCGTCCTGGCCTGCCGTGCCATCATGACGTCACTCTCGGGCGCCTTTTGGGGCTTCTTGGAGGCATCGTGGGCGCCTTGGAGGAGGAGGGGCAAGGCCAGCCAGATCTCTCCTGAGGGCCCTCTTTTGGGGGCCGCTGGGGCCGTCTTGGGGACCTCTGGGCCCTCTTTCCTCTCTCCTCGCTTCTTCTTTTCTCTTCCTCCGCATCTCCTCCTGCTGGTCCGCCCCTCCCTCTGTCTCCCCCCCCCGCCCTCCGTGTTCCCTCGTGCTGGTCCGCCCCTCCATCCGTCTCCCGTCCCTCCGTCTCCCCTCCCGTCTCCCCCTCCTCCCCCCCTTCCTCCTTCTACCAGCCCCTCCCTCCGTGTACCCCCCTGCGCGATCGCGCTCCCGCACGCGAAGGGGCGCGCGTGGGGAGGGGGTGGGGGAGACGGGCCGAGGAGTTTCGGTGGTGAGGGTATCACGGCGTGGAGTGTCTGCGGTTTCGGACGTGGTGTATGTCTCTTTGTTAGGCAGTTTTCGGATGCATTCGATGGCGTTCGAAGGGACTCGGGGGGTTCAGGAAGCCTTCCGGAAGGGAGGGAGGCAGGAGGAGGGTTGATTGCAGCGCGTTGGGGGTTTGCAAAAGGTCGTGTGGGGTTTGAGGTTGATGTTGCTTACGGACGACGAGGAGGAGCGGACAGGATCAACCGCCCCAGAGCGTCCCAGAACACCCTCAGAGCGTTCTGGAGTGCTCTGGAAAGGCCGCGGCGCCCGACACATCCTTCAGAGCCACCGAATCTCAGAGATTCCCGATTTCTACCGGTCCGATGTTGTCCTCGTCTTAGCCTCGTTTTCGGGGCGGCGACCAAGAGAGGGTTGATGACTAGGGGCGGGGGGTCATGGCCAGGGCCGTGATACCTCAGACATCATGGCCCCCTCTGCTTCTGCCGAGATGTCCCCTGTTCCCCCCCCCCCGCCATCTCGTCCGCGCACATGCCTCGGGCCATGATTTGCGGACCCCCCTCGTGGACGCCCCACTCCTGGACGCCCTCGACTTCTGGGAGGGTGGGCGAGGTCGTGCCCTCCCGCGCGACAAACAGCCAGCGGCAGGCGCACGAGACCGGGACAAGGATGGGCATCATCCTCAACCGGGACGCCGACTTCCAGCCTGCCACGATCTGGAGGATCCACAAGGCAGGCTCGTTAGCAACTTGTGTGAGCCTGTTGCGTCCGCGGCACTCCGTCTTTAGAGGGCATTTGCGTGTGCTAGCGTTTGGTAGTCGATGAGGCAGCGTCGATGTGGCGTCCATAGGCGTCGACTTAGAGTCGATCAGCGTCGATTAGCGTCAATTCGCAAGAGTAAGCAAGAAGACACGAGAGGCCCCCGTGAGCAGCCACAGAAGGCAGGGCCGCTTACAATCTGACTCGCTGCGATTCGATTCGCTGGCCGTGGCTGCGCTTGCGATCCTATTCGGTTCGGTCCGATGCGCCGGCATCGACTGGGAGCCGGCCAGACCCGGTCACGGCGATCCGATCTCGATTCGATTCGGGACGGTTCCCAGATTATCCGATTCTTTTCCGATCTAATCCGAGTTCGAGATTCGATCCAGCTCGGGCCTGCCAGGTGGGCCTCATCGAATCTTGGAACAGGGCCCACCCCGACATGGCCGTGCACGTGGGCGACGAGATCGTTCGCGTCAACGACATCCAGTGGCACGCGAACACAGAGACGTTCCCTCCCCTTTCCGGCGTCGCATTCGGATTTTTGGCAGGGGCGGCGAGGGGATCACGACCCCCGAGGCCGGATTCTCATCTCAGACTGTTTTTGACAGCCTCGGGGCCCCCGGGTGCCACACGAGCTGAAAATCACAAGACGCGCGATTTTACTTTCAGGTTCATCAGCCGCATCGTCGGCCAGTTCCAGGCTGGGCGCAAGCTGAAGGAGGGGGCGAGCGACATGTTGAGGCTCTACGTCCAGAGGCCGAGGCTCGCTCGTCCTCCTCTTCCTCCTCCTCATCCTCAAGGAGAAGGAGAAGGAGGAGGAGGAGGAGGCGGAGGCGGGAGCGAGGAGGAGGATGGAGCACGCCCTGCGCCCCTGCCTAATCCGCGGGCGCATCACGCGCGGCGCCGAGGCGGACCCCTCCGATGGGCTCCCGACCGCCCCATGTGGCCGCCCCTCGGCGTGGCCTCCCCAGGGGCGCCCGAGACCCCCTGGAGACCGCCATGGATCGGCCACGCGCAGAGGGGGTTCGTTGCACGCCATGCCCTGACGGAGTTCCTCCTCCTCCTCCTCCTCCTCCTCCTCCTCCTCCTCATCCTCATCATCCTCATCATCATCATCATCATCATCATCATCATCACCATCACATCACCATCACCATCATCATCATCATCATCATCATCATCATCATCATCATCATCATCATCATCATCATCATCATCATCATCATCATCATCATCATCATCATCCTCCTCCTCCTCCTCGTCCCCCTCCTAATCCTCCTCCTCCTTATCCCTGTCCTCCTCCTCCGAAGGGCACGGGCGGTTTCCCTAGCGGAACACGCACGCGACCGTAGGGGGAGGGGGGAAGGCTTCTTGGAGGCCCCCCTGCTTCTTAGAAGGCGCGGGCCTTGCCTACAGATGTAAGGCTGGGGCCTTCAAGAAGCAGCCTCCTTGTAGAAAGCCTTCCGCGCTCCCCTCTACCCCCCCTCTGCGCGCCGCCAAATGGAAAACATCGAAGAAGAAAACCATCATACACAGAAACTTTCGGCGCTCCGCGCGGAGTTCCTGGATCTGCGCTGGAAGCCCCTGGCGGCGCCTCTGGCGCCGCCCGTGGCGCGCTCCGCGCGCCAGGGAGGGGGGCCCAGGGCAGACCCAAGAAATCCGCACGTACCGTCGAAAGTTTATGTGAATACATTTTTGTTTTGTTTCTTCTTGTTAGTTTTCGTCTTCGTCCTCGTGTTCTTCTTCTTCTTCTTCCTATTAGAATGTTTATTAGCATTGTTATTCTTATTATTCGTATTATTAGTACTATTATTATTATTCGTACTCTTCTTCTTACGCCGGGACTCGGCTCTGCTGGCGCTTTTTGACCAGCGCGTCCTGGATGTTGACGGTCAAATTTCCGTGGGGTGTTTGCAGCGGGAGCTCGTGTCAAATTTCAGGTTGTGTCTCGTCATTTTTATGATGGCCCCGTTAGGCCCACACGAGGCTTCCGAACCCGAGTCTTGCGTCTCCCCGAGTACGGAAAGACTGGACACGACAAGCGACAGCAGTTCTTGTCCGTTTAGACCCGGGTTCGCTGTCGGCGCTCCCACTGATGTTGCTCAGTCGAGACAGAGGCCGGCTGCCCGACAGCGGCCGTTGTCGGTTTCGGACAACACATGTCGTAGGGCGTCGTGCCCGTCATGTCCGTAGCCGCTTCGAACGTCCAGAAGGAGCGGGGCCCTGCGGGAAATGGGCCCACACCTATCAATACGAGCCAGTGCGCGCATCAATTCGGAGGTGCCCTCGGAGCCACGTGTCCCCTCGATGCCGCAGTATCCCTTTGGTCTTGCGCCGCCCACATGGCGTCGAAAGAAATTCGAGGCCGCAGTCTTTGCGCGGCGCTGCGCCGGGAGATTCCTGGGGCCGGGGCCCGTGGATGGGCCCCACCAGCCCGAAAACTCGGGGGGCGGGCAAGAGGTAGGGCGAAGAGAACTGTGCACATGCACCGATCCTGGTAAGGCCCATCCTTGACCCAGGATCGGTGCATATGCCTTCCTGGCCACCGTAGGAGGGCGTATGCACTGATCCTGGGCTCAGGATGGGCCTGGCCAGAATCGGTGTATGTGCATAGTTCTCTTTCCTCTAAGAGGTGGGTGAGGGCAAGGAGGTGGACAAGCGAGGGGGGGTAGGCGCGGAGCCCAGGCCCGTCACCTGCCGTGCGGCCCCGCCTGGCTGGGCGACGGCGCCGGCGGCCGGCGCGCCGGCACCAGCATCGGCGGCAGTGGCGAGGACGACGACGACGAGTGCGACGGTGGCGGCGACGACGACGAGGGCGACGAGGACGAGGATGGCGACGACGAAGGCGACGACGACGGCCCCACCAGCCCGAACACTCGGGTGCAGACGAGAGGTGGACGAGGGGGGTAGGCACCAGTGCGTCGCCGATGCAGCGCCGATGCCTCGTCGATGCATCGCCGACGTATCGCCGATGCGGCGAGATCCTCCGACCCCATCTGCTCGGACCCCACCTGGGAGGCCTCTCGTAACACAGTGCGTCCCCTGGTCCCCCCGCACGTCTGCGGACGTGCTTTGAGCCATGGGTTGCGACCCCCGCGACTGGGCGCCCCCGCCGTGGACGTCCCCGAGACACGGCGAACGGGAACCCGGGGCCCTCCTGCTTCCAGGCACCACCTCCACGCTCGGGGGGCCTCCTCCGGGGCCTCTGCCTCCGCCTCCTGCCCGTTTGCCGCCCGGGCTGGCAAGATTTGTACCCATACCCCCCAGCGTCGTGGAGTTTTTTGGTTCCCTTTCCCAGAAGCCCGAGGCGCAGGGGATAGGAGTAAAGACCTGGCCTCTAGCGGCTCGATTTTTAGGCAGATGCACTGCGCCTCAGCCTTTTGGCGCCGCTTCCCAGAAAGTCCAAGACGTGGTGGATTAGGGGTAGCAGTCCTGCCTGCAGCCCCCGGGTCCCCGAGGGTCTGGGAGCACGCCCGCTTCGCCGGGCAGCGGGAAGACGCCCACAACAAGGACTACGCGGCGGAGTTCGTCGCCAACATCAACTTGCCCGACAAGGTCGTCGTCCTTCCTCCCAGACCTCGCTCCCTCCCTCCCTTTCTCCCAGACCTCCCTCCTTCCCTTCTCCCCCCTCCCTCCCAGACTTCTGTCCTCTGGGCTGGTCTCCGGAACGGCCTCCGGCTTCTGCGGGCCGAGGTCGGGCCCGTCCCAAGACAGCGAGCCGGAACGCAATAAAGTGGCCCCTTGGGAATCGAATCAGACAAGCATGCATTGTGATCGTTCTCTTATCATTGTTTTGCCGATCGGCGTGGGCCCTCGCACCCCTTTCCCCCCCCCTATGGAGTAGATCTTCGCTGCTTTTGGGCGCCCGTTTGAAGCAGGTGGAGTCTCCCCCCGTGGGACGCATTGTTGCAAACAGTCGCATTCAGCAGAGGTCCAGAGCGAGACCTTTTCCCCTCCCCCTGCTTCAGCGCCATGTCGAAACGCCACTTCAGCAAACGTTCACATGTGCACTAAATATCTAAGCTCTGCGGGGATCTCTTGGATCCGCGCTGGGCCCCTGGCGCGCAACTTCGAGATGTCCCGAAGGCGACGTTGTGAAAAAGTCACATCGGATGGTTGGGGTCTCCTTTTCCTGTGTCCTCCTCGTCCTCCTTCTCCAGCTTGACGACAAGATGGACAAGATCATGGGCTGGCAGCTGAGCCGTCAGCATGGTCCCACCGGGCTGGAGGACTGGAAGCCGGTCATCATCAAGACGATCGACAGGTTGGGCCCAGTGGAGAGATGGAACAAGGACGGGCCTCCGGAGTATCACGTGACGTCGGAAATGAAGTCGATTGCGCGGACATTCGCGCAAGAGCTGCCCGCGTGAGGTCGCGCGGTGGGGTGGGCTCAGGCGCAATTTTTCTGGTGCGGTGTTCATTTTCACCGGCCAGCGCAAGATTCCGCGAAAGGTCGCCGTGTGCTCGCACGACAGACCCCATACCCCTGACGTTTTGATTTCCCTAGATCGGTGCTTGCACTGGATGGGTCCGAGCGGATGTTGAAAGCGTAGGCGGAAGTTTCGGGCCGACTTCGTCGGGCGGGCGGGTGGGTTAGAGGATGTGCCAGGCCAGAGTCTTTGGGCTCGCGGTCGTGGCAGAGTGCCGTTTTTTTTGCGAGCACAGGCAGAACAGATAGTAGAGAGTGGTGAGTAGATGATGAAGAATGACAGGGTAGAAAGCAGAGACGCGTTTCCCAGTTTTCTTGCCCTGCTCCTCCTCTTCAACAACCGCCTCCGAGGAGAACCCAGACAAGTTGATCTTGGAAGGGGACGAGATCATGCAGCTCGACAATGTTCGCTTCCACCACAACTCCACTCAATGGATGAAAGTTCTCGCCAAGCACTACAGGTCAGCGACGGCGGTTGAGAGCACCAACAGGTCTCGCATACTTAATCCTCCATTCCCTCCCTCCTCATCCCTCCGCATCCATCCTACCTCACCCTTCTTGTCGTTACGATACCGCCCCGACTGCCTCCTGCCACCTACTGCCATGATTATCCACGGCCCTCTCGTGTGTCCGTGCCGCCGCTTCAGTTCAGACTGTGATCGCGCTTCGGCGCATGCAGGGCTCCCAGCTAAGCGGAAAAGCAATCAAGATGATCATTGCCTACGTCATTCCAATTGTATGCCAGTTAAGCAAACCAGCTCAAACCTACAGCGACCAACGAGTAGGCGGGTCATCAGCCGATGACGTCGACGCAAGGGCAGAAGGTGTTGGAATGTTGTGGTTCCAGGGAGCGAGACGTGCAGACACTCTTCATCGATGAGGCGAAGGAGAGGACTCCAAGAATAGTGACTCCGAGGGCCTGGGTCTGGTGTGTGGCCTCACCGACACGCCAGCCACTGCGACCTCAACATGTATGTCAGTACGGCATATGGCCAGCTCGGCCTAAGATGCCGACATTGCGAGTGACCAGGCCATGCATGATTTTGCTGAGTCGAAGTTGTCACAGCACAACACGTGCTGCAACGAAGTCCTGAATCGCGATAGCCCTTTGCGTACGCACTGCCTACGACGCCACGAATGATACACCAGATGCATTATCCGACACGGACGGCTCAATTGGGAAGGGTTCAGTGCTATTGGTGCCAAGGGGAACCCAGACGACGCCTGCAATGATATGAAGCCAAGCGTCGTTATTGTACATAGGCCCGAGTCACCACCGCCGATGATTACGATCTCTTCTGTGCTCCAAGCGGCGTAGCCCAGTCAATGGCTGGTGGCGATGAAGGACACGACGGTAGAAATTCGATTCGCCTAGCCTTCAGAGGTTTCCACGCATACGGGCGGCGTGTCCGATGCTGCTGAGTGCGCTCTGGACCAGACAGACTACTGGGAAACCCATCCCTGCTCCACCCTCGAAAAGACGAGACATGGAACGACCCGTCAAGACTGTTTAGAGCGTGCCGAAGCATGGCTCGATGGTTTCAAGGGCCATGGCTGGATCCACGAGCGTGAGAGCGACCCGCCACCTTCTGGCGCGTCTGGTGGTGCACCTGGGCCAGCTGCGGCAGCGGGGCCAGCGGCGCCCCCTGGCAGCGGGACGAGGGTGCTCCGCGGTCTGGACGTCGGCGCGTCGGCGGCGATCTGCGAGCGCTGGCACGAAGCCGCGCGGGGCGGGCGCCCGTTCCCCAGCCCCCCGAGGCGTGGGCAGAGGGGGGCGGCCGCCTCGCTTTGCGCAGCGGCGCTGGTGCGACGCGCGCCTGCGCCCAAGCCGTGGGCGCGGGGCGGCGTGCAGGCTGGCCTGCCTGCGCGGACGAGCGCGGCAGGGGGGACACAAGCAGTGGCGAGGCGTCCTGGCTTACCTGTGGGCCCACCAGAGAATGCTCTGAGTTTTTTTTGTGGCTTGCACCAAAGATGCTGTCAGAACAGTCCCGGCTGGGGTTGCCTTGTGTAGACACATCGGCGGCTCTACGTTCTAGGAGCATTGCTGGGGAAACCATGAGGCACCGATACCGCTACTCCCCGGACCCCTTTGGGGGTGCGTTGTGACCAGGATTTCGAGGCGAATCTAGCGGTGGCGGCGAGGGCCGAATAGGGGAAATTGGGCGAAGGGTAGAGGTATGGGTGCCTTTTCCTCCTCTGACTTGCTGTTGTTCTTCGAACACTGCTGGGTTCTGAAAACATCTCGTAGCAGGCTTGTGGGAGTGCTGGGACGGCCGGTCCCTGCTCCAGGGGCGCGGACGCCGCCCAGGCGGCGAGGGCCGCGCGCGCTCGGCGCGCGCGAGACGGGGGGGTGGCGCGGGCGCTGCCAGGAGGCAGCGAGGGCCGCCGCACGCGCGGCCAGCTCAGAGCCCCGTCGTCGGCCAAGGCGGAATAGAACAAGAAGGAGAAGGCGAAGGCGAAGGACGAGGCGGGCCTCAAGGCATGCGAGGACTCCCCCTGGCACGGCAAGGTGGCCATCGTCACCGACGAGGGGATCCACTCGCCCGCCGTTGCCCTGGGTCAGCGTATTGTACCCATCGGTCGTTGAAAGTAGGTATTGTTGGACGCCCACATTCGGATCTACGTTAAGCGCCCTTCACTGATCGAGTGGCTTCGCCTTTGCCGTCCTCTTTGAGGGGCGGGTTGACACCCAATTCTACTTTCAACGCCTTCCTACTTCATGTGTCTGCCTACTTCTTCCGACCGATGGGTGGTCGCCCTATCCACATCCCGATCCCCACCACCCCACCACCCCAGCCGGGGGCACGCCCCTCGAGACTGGAAGGGGGGGGACCTCCTGTCTCCCAGCCTGGGGGGGGGATGGATCGGCCTGTGCGGACAGGGATCGGCCCAGGCCACAGCAGCGGGGATGGGGATCGGCTGATCGAGGTTCATCTGCGGCCTTTCGGCGGGGAGGTGCTCGCGCTGGGCGGCGGGCGGCGCAGAGTGGCGCGCGAGCTCTGCCCTGTGCGGCGCGAGGCGTCGAACCAATTTGGGGCGGCAAGATCCATGCATGTCCACAGCGCCATTTGGAACCCGATGCAGAGATTTTCCGTTTACCCTGCGATGGGAAGGATCGAGGAGTGTGAAGAAAAGCAGAAGGGAGGATTGTGACCACTCCACATGTTCATGACTCGAAGCGCCATCAAATTGCCCTACAACGCAGGCGTTGACATGGATGCCAGGCGTTCGTGTTTGATGGAGACGCTACGTCGCTGTGCTGTCCGCTCGCTTTCCCTCTCCAAGCTGAACTGACCATGTTCTTTCGGGTACGGCCCATTCAGAACTCCGTCACGGCTCTCCTAATAACGTATCTTCTGGCGTTCCCGACAGGATTCCTCTAATTCGGGCCCCAGGCGTTGGGCACAGAAAGTGAACGGGCTATGAGTTCCTTTTCGGCGCCCCCAAACCTAACAAGATTTGTCCAGCTTAGGCTATAACAATCGCGACGACACCACGGCGCATTTCTGAGCGTTGCCACGTTCTACCCATTGTGGGTCTCAGTTGGCACGTCCGCTTGAGCTTGACGTTGCCCAATTTAGGCTCAGAGTCCCCACGCTGTTCATCAGCATTGGGCCTAATTGCGGGCAGTATTAGTATCCATATCTACTTCGGCTTGGACTTTCTGGAAAGGAGCGCCAAAAGTTGGAGGCGCAGTGGATCCGGATACCAATGCAGCCTCTAGGGGTTGCGCTTCGGGGACTTGCGGAAGAGAGTCTTGAACTCGAAGATGTAATATACATCTTCCCCGCACCCACGTCACATGCACCTCCGCCAGCACAACATGGACGGCCGTTCTCTTCGACGGGGGGCTGATCTTGACAGCGCCTCCTCCCCGAAGGCGCTCTAAGCACGGTTGCGCGCCGCAAAGGTGTTTGGAGACACCGCCGCCGACTGCCACAGGCCAGCTGATTCTTGTGGGCTGTCGTACGAGCTTGCGCCTGATACCACCTGTGCACCAGGAGTCATGGCGCCAACTTCCCAGTGCAGATGCCGATCGGAAAAAAAACGAAAGAGCCCCAGATCTTCTTGTGCATTGTGTCAGGATGTTGTTCTGAAGTTCGAGCGGGCAATGATATTTAAAACCATTCACTTGAAATGCATTGCTTGATTTCGCTCGCCCTTTCGGAGCGTTTCAGCTGCATACAACCACGTCTCTTTTCATGGTAGCCCACCTGCACGACCGCAGCCATGACTGATACCGGATACCCTCCGCGCACCAGGAGCTCCAGAGCACCCTCAAGGATGAGGTGAGGTGGCCTTGTGGTGCCAACACGGCGGATGGTGAGAAGGCCGAGCGTCCGAAGTGCAGCATTTTGTGGCACCGTTTCAAGAGGCCAGCAGTCTCCGAATCCGTCTTCCTTCTGCTCCAGGGTCCTTCCCCTTACAGTCGGACCAAGGTCTTAGATTGAGGTCGGTTCGTGGAGGGTGCTCTAGTGGTCTCCGTGTTTGTTGGATGTTCTTGTGCATCCTGGGGTGGTGGGGGGACCCTTCGATGTTCTGTTTGCTTTGGCCGACGGAGAGTCTCGTGTTCTTGAAGCATGCTTTTTCGCCCAGGTCCCTCCTCTCTCCATCTCCCGAGTTCCTCCATCCTCTAAGCCTTCCTCCAGCTCCTTTCGTCTGGACAGCAGCCAGGGAGGAGGCTGCAGGCTAAACGTTCACGTTAAACGTTATACCCCTCGCGGGCAAAAAAAGCTCCCTCCTCCCTCCGCTCCCCGTGCCCGTCCTCACCGTCACCCCCTTTCCCTCCTTGAAGGAGGGGCGACGAGACTCCGACGCCACGTCCGCTTGTTCCATCCTCGGGGGCCGGCAACCCTCAGACCCGCTCCCCGTGTGACACGTTCTCTGCGTACCTCCCTGAAGCGTGCGTCGACACGGGTCATTTTCGGATGGCCCTGGCCCTGAAGCGTGCGTCGACACGTCGAACTTTCGGATGGCCTCTGGGAAAATCCCGAGTCTGTGCTGGACCCCCTTCATGGCGCGCGGAGCGCGCCAGGGGCGACACTGGAGGCGCCGCCAGGGGAGCCCCAGCGCAGATCCAAGAAATCCGCGCTGAGCGCCAAAAGTTGATGTTTATGCCGTTGCGTTCTGCTGCGAGACTCGGGATTTTCCCAGAGGCCATCCCAAACTTCGACGTGTCGACGCACGATCCATTCGCGCGGAGCGCCACAAGTTTCTGGTTATGCCCTTCCTTCTACTTCTATCTAATATCGGCCGCCATGGAGGATGCGGGGGTATTGGTGGAAACGGGTGCCAGACCCCCGGGCTCTCCCCAGGGCCAGCTCTTCATCTTGAGCCGTCTTCTGACAGCCCCGGGGCCTGTGGCGGTCCCGAGGTGGGGGCTTGTAGCCCTTACCACTGCCGGGAGGATCAATCTTCGAGGACTTCGGCAGGCGGTGCATACTGATCTATTATTGCATTGGGGTGGCTGTTTGCTTAGACGCAACAGTTGTATATTGTACAGCTACACACATATATATATATACACATGCACGTCTTATATTTATTTGTATACGTATATCCACCGCCTACTGAGGTCCCCGAGGACCGATCCCCCAGCAGGTGGTCATGTGGGAACCCCCGATTCGCAGAACCACGTCCAGGACCCCCTCTTCCCCAGGACACCCATTTCCCCCAGTACCCTATTTCCTCCGGGGCCAAGGTGGAACGTCCAGTTGATGAGCAGGGAAAGTTCGGTAGCAAATCTTGGGAGCCTTGCGTACTCTTAAGCCGGGCATGTCCCTCCACGGGAGGAATCATTCCTCAAGAGTGGAAGACAGATAATATGGTGACGGTTTGTCCAGAATCCGCTTGTAGGAAAACATGCCGACCCGTCTTCAGAACGCACTCGCGCCGATTAGCGTCTGGTACTCCATGACATGGTGCCGATACAGCGTCGATCAGCGTCGATCTGGCGTCGATCGGCGTCGACTCGCCAGAGCCAACAAGATGGCAAGGGGAGGCTCCCACGAGGTGCCGCAGACCGTAGACGCGCTATCGGTGTGTTAGCTAACGGCGAAGCAGGAACACCAATTGTAGGAAGGCGTGGTCCGTCGCCAACCCAATTGTAGGAACGCGTGTTTAGTGTTTTCCTACATCTCGCTGTGTAGAGTTCGCTCGATGCATTCGCATATTGAACATGTCGGAACGTGTGCTTCGTGATTTCCTAAGATGTGTTCTGCGCGAGCTCCGTGTCACAATAACCATCTTCCCAACATCGCCGTTAGCCAAGCAGGCCGTTAGCGCGATCTTGGGCAGAGAGGTCGGAGACCTTGCTGCTGCGCTTGGGGAGCGAGGGCTATGATGCTCCAACCTACATTAGCCTTGACCACCAAACAGAATTTCGTGCACCAAGATAGTACCGACACTTGAGGGTTTTCACGTGTCGGGCCCTGGAGGCGATTCTCGTTCGATACCGTTTCGGTAGTTTTCTGGGTGCTCGAACTTGTTTCCAGGATGTGGTCCTCAAGTACGATGGGAGCAACATAAGGAGAGGGGCGAGGGCCCCCCCCCTGCTGGAGGTCGGCGCTCATCTCCATCCGGAGGCCGCGGGCGAACCAGGATCGAGGGCGCGCCTCGCGGGGGGCGGCCGCCTGGGGCAACGGCAGGGGGGGGGGGGGGCGGGACAGGCCAAGGGGGGCGCGCTCGAGGTCCTCCTCCTCCTCCTCCTCCTCCTCCTCCTCCTCCTCCTCCTCCCCTCCTCCCCCTCCCCCCCCTCCTCCCCCTCGTGTCACCCTCCTCCTCCACCTCCTCCTCCTCCTGCTCTCTCCTCCTCCTCCTCCTCCTCCTCCTCCTTCTCCTCCTCCTCCTCCTCCTCCTCTCCCCCCCCTCCTTCCTCCTCCTACTCCTCCTCTTCTCCCCCTCTTCCTCCTCCTCCTCTCCTCCTCCTCCTCCTCCTCCTCCTCCTCCACCTCCTCCTCCTCCTCCTCCTCTCCTCCTGCTCCTCTCTCCTCCCCTCCTCCTCCTCCTCCTCCTCCCTCCTCCTCCTCCTCCTCCTCCTCCTCCTCCTCCTCCTCCTCCTCCTCCTCCTCCTCCTCCTCCTCCTCCTCCTCCTCCTCCTCCTCCTCCCCCTCCTCCCCCTCCTCCCCCTCGTGTCACCTCCTCCTCCTCCACCTCCTCCTCCTCCTTCTCCTCCTGCTCCTCCTCCTCCTCCTCCTCCTCTCCTCCTCCTCCTCCTCCTCCTCCTCTCTCTCCTCCTCCTCCTCCTCCTCCTCCCCCTCCTCCCCCTCCTCCCCTCGTGTCACCCTCCTCCTCCTCCTCCTCCACCGCCTCGTCCTCCTCCTCCTCCTCCTCCTCCTCCTCCTCCTCCTCCTCCTCCTCCTCCTCCTCCTCCTCCTCCTCCTCCCTCCTCCTCCTCCTCCTCCTCCTCCTCCCTCCTCCCCCTCCTCCCCCTCCTTCCCTTCCTCCCCCTCCTCCTCCTCCTTTCTGCCGAAGCCTACTGGTGGATACAGGCCGATTGGGGTGTTCTGCTCCTGGTTCAGGGTTTGGGGCCGCTGTCGGCGGCCCTTTGCCTTGAACTGGGAGCAGGAACACCCCAAACGGTACTGGGCTGCTGGTAGGTTTCGCGGAGCTGCCGATGTGGTTTGGCGTCAAGCTGTCACCGCCGAGACGGGTCTTGCCATCGGGGGGTCCTATTGTTCTGTTCTTTTCGATCTGCGTAAGTTCTATGAGAACATCAGTCTGAAAGAGCTCGAGGCCCGTTGCAAGAAACATGGATTCCCTCTTGCGATTGCCCGTCTTTGCATTTATGCCTACAGGTGTGGGCGCTTTCTCTGTCTTGGAGGGTGGCTGGAAGGCCCCTGCTTCTGCCTGACTGGGGTTATCGCTGGGTGCTCGATGGCCACCACGTTCATTCGTGTCTTTTGCCAGGACGGATACGATTCTCTTCCTTCCATCCCCAGGCTCGACCTCGATGTGTATATCGACGACCAGAGTCTCTCGTGTACGGGCCAACATCGGACCGTGGTCAAATCGATCGTCGAAGGGGCCAAGGCGCTCCACGGCATCGTTGAGCCTTGTTTCGGTTGCTCCCTCGCCCTGGATAGGACCGCTGTTGTCGCTTCCTCGAAGGCCCTTTGGGGTGAGGTTGCTGTAGAGATTTCGCAGTTAGGAGGTAAGTTTACGTCGAGTGCTGTCAACTTAGGCGTTGACTACACGGCTGGCCGCGCGCTTAGGGTGGCGGGGCGCTCGGTTAAGTCTAAAATGCGTATCGCCAAGGCTGTGAGGGCGGGCAAGAGATTAACGCGTCAGATTAAAGTCATCTCTCGGCCGCAGGTTCTTAGGGCGTTCTCCTGTGGGCCCCTCGCGGGGGCTTCGTATGGCGCGGAAATTACTGGCACTAGCGACCTCGAGTTGCTTCGCCTCCGTCGTCAAGTTTTCTCGGTGGCCCGACCACGATCTCAGTTGAGATCCCTGACGACGGCGGCTTTGCTCGATTATGATCCGTGCTGGCGCACTGCCACCGCCCCCATCCCCCGTTGGTCCAAGGAGATTTGGCTGGCCCAGACTGGGGCCTACTCTTGGGGTTTGGGTTTTCCCTCGTTGCGTCGTGCGTGGGAAGCTGTGTTCTCCAACCCTGCCTGCTCCTGGAGAGCGGTTGCGGGCCCCGTGTCGGCCCTTTGGATGTCCTTGGTTCGGCTGGGCTGGCGCATGGACAACTTCATGACGGTGCGGGATGACCGTGGCTTCTCTATTCCCCTTCGGCAGTATCTCGCCTGCCTTATTCAGGATTTTGCTCAAAGACGGTTATTTTAGGATGTTGGAGCGTCTCTCCGCTAAAAAGAGGGGAGTGCTCCCCAGGATATGCTATGATGTGCTGCGCGAGGCCCTGGCCTCCAAGAAATACACGGCCCTCCAGAAGGCCCACATTAGAGCGTTCGCCACCGAAGCCTTTTTTACTGGAGATCGTGCTGTGAGCTTAGGCTACCTCGTGGACGGCAGTTGCCCGTTCTGCGGCGCCTCGGACACGATCTTCCACAGGTTGTGGGAGTGCCCCCACGAGCCAGTGGCTGAGCTTAGATCTTCTCTAGTTGAAGCTAGTACTGCTGCTGAAGCCTTAGCAGCTAAGGACGACGAGGAAGCTGTGTTCGTTTTTATATCTGGGGCTTTCCGCCACCCCGCTGATGGGTACCCCAGGCCCCTCACTGAGACGGACAATGGCCCGTTTCTTGTGTGGCACCACCAAGATATCTCGTCGCCCTCTGGGGCTAAGCCTGGCATTGAAGTTTGGGGTAGCGTTTTCATCGACGGGCCTAGCAGCCGTCACTCTGTTCGGGAGCTCTCCAGGGCTGGCTGCAGCGTGGTGATGGTCGACGATCAAGGGTCGGCCGTCGCCGAGTTTCGGGCCCCAGCTTGGGCCCCATATCCTCAGACGCCTCAGTCGGCCGAGTTCAGCTGCTGGACTTGGGCCAATGTGCTCGCGTCGGCCTGCTTAGATGTGTTCTCTGATTGCAGCAATGTGGTCAATATTGCCTGTAGGCCCAAGGCCGAGCAGCTGTGTGGGAAGAGGGCCTACGCTGGGGCTTTCCTCCAACTCTATGCCCAAGGTATCTCGCCTTCCACGTGCACAAAAGTCGCAGCTCACAAGGAGCTGGATGAGGCGGGGATCGACGCTGCTGAGCGCTGGAAGCGCCTCGGCAACCATCATGCGGACGCGGCAGCCAAGCACGCAGTGCATCTTCATCCTTCGTGTCCAGACAAGCTAGCGGCTGCTGATAAGCTTGTCTCGCAGGCACGCCAGACTATCAGGCTGGCGGCCCATGTTTTGCATGTGTGGCCTGCCTTGGACCTCTCCGAGGTAGGGCGAATTCCTGCCCCGCATGCCGCTGCCGCTGCGACCGCAGGGCATCGCTGGGAAATGTGGTCTGGAGTGTGGCGCTGTGCTGTTTGCCTCAGAGGCAAGCGATCTCAGAGTAGGCCCTTGCCAGGTGTCTGTTCTCAGGTTTCTCGGCTTCACGCGTCCAGTCAGGACGCCCTCGAGCACCGTGCGATTGCGTTCGACTGCTCTGATGGCTCGGTTTTGTTTATTTGCACTAGGTGCAAGGCGCATTCCAGTGGAGCCTCTGTCCGCGGGCTAACCGCCAAGTGCCAGCCGCCTCCGTCGCGCGCAGCGAGGTACGGCTGGGAAGCCCTGTGCAAAGGCAAACACCCGCATTACAGGCAACAGAAAGCGGGTGTTACGGTTGATGTCGGCAATATTACGCAGCGCTTCAACACGCATGCCTAATTTTATTCTTAGGCCTGCTGCGCCGCCTCGTTGCAGCAGGCGCCAGATCCTTTTAAAAGACTCAGAGGAGGGCGTGGAGCCAAAAAAAATCCCCCTCCTCCTCCTCCTCCTCCTCCTCCTCCTCCCCCTCTCCCTCTTTCCTCTTCCTCCTCCTCCTCCTCCTCCTCCTCCTCCTCCTCCTTCTCCTCCTCCCCCTCCTCCTCCTTCTCCTCCTCTCCCTCGAAGGTCAAGATCAGCCCCAAGCAGCACATGAGGAACCTCGGCCACGACCTCAACAGCACGAAGGCGCGAAGGACGGTAGCTAAGAGCAGGCTCGAGAAGCTGAGGCCAAGGATGAGAAGGGCAAGGACCTTGAGGAAGGCTGCTGGTGCCAAGGCCGCATGCCTGTGGCAGACGGGCTTGCTGCCTTCCACGGCACATGGAGCTGCAGTGGGAGGCGTGTCGGCGAGTGAGCTGAGCGCGATGCGCTCGGAGGCGGCGGGGCTGGTGGGTGCCAAAGGGCGAGGGGGCAGCATCGCGCTATGCCTGGCGAGCCAGCGCAACCCCTACTACGACCCGGTCTTCGCTGCCACTGTCGAGCCGATCATGCAGTATGCCAGGGTGATCTGGCACCAGGAGATCAGCTTGGGGGCGCTGGAGCGGGCATGGAGAGCGACGCTGGACAAGGCGGAGGCTGGCGACGACAAGCTCACGTGGGCAGGGGCCAGAGGTCCGCTGAAAGTTGTCATCTTGTCGTTCAGGCGTATTGGCTGGGCCATGTTCTCGTCGCTGATGGTCAGGCCAGATGAAGGGCCAGTGATTTCGTCGCTGGCAACCTCACCGAGATTTTTCTCGCGACCTCCTGAGACAGGGGATCCAGAGGTGGCAGATGAGGCAGATCGCTGCGCACCAGGACGCTACGAATTGTTCATGCGTTGTGAAAAGGGAGGAGGGACGCCGCGCCTGCCCTTAGACGCCGCCACTGTGGCCGACTGCGCGCTTGTGCGGGGGGACGGGGGGCGGCGGTGACTGGGGCGGGGAGGATGGGAGCGCTTCGCAGTCTGTGGGCCGACTCCCTGTGGCCGCGGGCCAAGCTCTTGAACAAAGGCCTATGTGAGTACCAGGGATGCAGAGCGTGCCCGCATGGGATGGAGCCCCTCGGGCACGCATTCGTCGAGGGTCCAGCGCTGACACAGCGACTGCTGGACGAGGAAGAGGAGTGTGACCTCGACCCCCAGTTGGCTGCTGCTAGAGATGCGATGCTCGAGCGCGGACCTGTCGGTGAGGGGCGACAGGACACGGACTCCTTCGCGGTCGGTGTGGGCATCCCAAGGTGGCCGAGAGTCGAGGTGCCACCGCCGCCAGAGGACCCGCCGATTTTTTCTGGGGCGACTGGACGTCGCCGAGTGAAGAATGGAACGAGAGAGTGTTCACTGACGGCTCGGGGTACCACGGGGATGTTCCTGAGCTGCGGCGGTGCCGCTGGGCTGCAGTCATGATCGACGCCAACGGAGTGCCCGTGAAAGCGGCGTGCGGAGGGCTCGCAGGCGGGCAGCAGATTGTAGGCAAAGCAGAGAGGGTTTCAGGGCTCAATGCCCTTCAGAACATGCCGACGGTCAGATGGATTATAAGCGATCTGCTCGACTTTGTGAATGAAGGACGCCAGTGGAAGGCGGGGGAGGGCGCTAGTTCGTCGGCGGCGAGCGTTGCCTACCCGAGCGTTTGGCGGCAACTCGCCAGCCCCCAGCGGGAGCCGCCCAGTTTTGCCTGGGTACCGCCCCACCTGAGTGATGAGGAGGTGCTCTTCCCCGCGCCTGGAGGCCCTTCCCCGCCGCCCTACCGCTGGGTCGTCGGGAATAGGTGGGCGGACTTTGTTCGCCAAGCGTGGGGCCATGTATGTCAAGCTTCCTGGCGGCCACTGCAGGTTTTGTAAGGGCTGTCTTTCGAGTGCCAAGGTGTATGCAAGCTACCTCGCCTGGGCTGCCCAGAGGAGTTGCAGGTTCGAGCTGCGGGCCGAGAGGGGCGAGGCCGAACGCAGCGGCGGCCATCATAAGGCCAAGGGCCCGACCCAACCCAGGCTCACTCTCGCGCTGCACGAGCACGACCTCGTGGAGCTTGGGAATAGGTTGGTCTGCAGAAGGTGCCGACGCTCGGCCAAGACTGCAGGGGCCCGCAGACAGCTGACTGGAGGTGACGATACGAGATACGCCCCCTCTGCGGTGGCGTTCCTGCAAGCTAGAATCCAGGAGGCTCGCGGCAACAACGCCGACCCGCCTGGGGTGCCTGGGGGGACCTTTTGGGCGGGGGCCTCGGGAGGCCCATGTTCTGGGCGGGGGGGGGGGGGGGCGGATCGTCTGGGGGTTGGGTGGGGTGGCCCCGAGGGGCAGGGCATCCTTGTGCCTGGAGGACACGACGTCACCGTCACGGGCACGGTGGTGTGGTGTCGGCGGTGTGGGGCCTACGGGTCGGACAGGGTCCCACGAGCCGCAAGCGTGTGCTCCGCGTGTTGGCTTAGGGACAGCACCCCAAGAAGGGCAATACCCTCGAATCCAAGGAGGTCCTTGCCGCCCTCGCGGGCAGTAGGGCACCCGACGAGGAGACCGAGGAGCCTGACAATGCTGGAGGCCTGTCTGGCAACGCTGATGGAGGCGGGGAGGTTGGCGGCGAGCCGTGGGGGGGGGGGGGGAACTGGCGCCACGAGCAAGCCTGCCGCGCGGTGGGCAAGTCGCTCCAGCGACACACGTGCTGCGAGGATTGAGGCGGCCCACATAGCTGCCGAGTGTCCTAGTTTTGGAGTCAAACCGTCGGGTTACCGCGATCTGGCGGGGGAGAGGGGCGCGACGGCCAGCGCCTGCGTCTCCCAGGGGGTGCTTTTGGCCTACACTCAGCCTCCTTCGGGGCCGACAGGCCCAGTGTCAGCTGAAGGCCCCCATAGCTCGTCGAACGTCCCGCCTCAGGCTCGGAGGGCTGCTGGCAAGGGGGGGGGCCCTGACGCGCCTCAGACGCCTGCGGCTGCGGGTGCGCCTGATGCTGGCCAATCCCTGACGAGAGCGCGGAGGGCGGCAGTCAGGAGTGGAGCTCGTGACGCGCCTCCTAGGCGGGGAGGCGGAGGTGGGGTGGTGACGTTGGGTGGGGAAGGGAGCACCGCTGCTGCGAGCAGGCCTGCTGAGCAGTGGGCGAGCTCGCTCGGAGGCATCTGTGCTGCAGGACTGAAAGGACCTGGGTCGGCGGACGGCCCCCAGGCCCCTGCGCCAGTCCTGCCGAGTGCGCCCCGAGATGCGGGCAAGAGGGGCGACCTTGAAGCGCCTCCGTCGCCTGCAGGTACCGCAGGCACAGGCACGCCTGTCGCTGGCCCCTCCCAGCCAGGGGCCTGGAGGGCTGCAGTCGGGAGCGGAGCTCCTGGCGCGTCTCCACGGCTCCACGCTGAGGAGGCGAGGCCGCGTGGGGGGGGGCGGGGGCGGGGTCGCGAGGTCGTCGTCGGATGGGGGTGGGGGAAGCACCTCGGCGCTGGCGCCTGAGTCCGACGACGAAAGGCGGGCCCGCATTGTCCAGAGGTTGCTGCGGGCGGCGCGGGGTGAGACGCCTGTGGCGGAATTGAGCCAGGCCCGAGCGCCTGGCCTGCATGGTCGGAGGGCCTCGTGTGGGCCGTGGGCTGGACCCCGGGAAGAGTAGGCTCGCTGGGACTCTGGCCGACTGCTAAGCCAGTGGTTGGCCCCTGACCCGAGTCTCTGTGCAGCAGGGGTCCGTGCTTGGACTCTTGCTCGAGGCCATTCTCATTCCCATTCCCATTCCCATTCCCATTCCCATTCCCATTCCCATTCCCTCCTCCTCCTCCTCCTCCTCCGGCTCCTCCTCCTCCGGCTCCTCCTCCTTCTCCTCTTCCTCCTCCTCCTCCTCCTCCTCCTCCTCCTCCTCCTTCTCCTCCTCCTCCTCCTCCTCCTCCCCCTCCTCCTCCTCCTCCTCCTCCTCCTCCTCCTCCTCCTCCTCCCTCTCCTCCTCCTCCTCCTCCTCCTCTCCTCCTCCTCCTCCTCCTCCTCCTCCTCCTCCTCCTCCTCCTCCTCCTCCTCCTCCTCCTCCTCCCCCTCCCCCTCTTCCTCCTCCTCCTCCCTCTCCTCCTCCTCCTCCTCCTCCTCCTCTTCCTCATCCTTCCCCTCCTCCTCCTCCTCCTCCTCCTCCTCTTTCTCCTCCTCCTCGTTCGTTGGAAGTGGGTATTTTCGGATGCCCATCTTCCAATCTGCTTTGAGCACCTTCCTGCTTCAATGATCGAGTTGCTTCGCCTTTCCCGTCCTCCTTCGGGGCGGACGGAACCCGAACTGCTTTCAACGCTTTCTTGCTTCATGTTTCTGTCTACTTATTCTGATCGATCGATAAGTGGTTCTAAGTTGTCGTCTGATCTCTCGGTGGCGAGCGAGGAGGGGGAAGGGAGAAGGAGAGGGCATTCTCAGAAGGCTCGGAAGTCCCCCAGCCTCCTAAGTCTTCTAAGCCTTGCCCGAAGACACAGAACACCTTTCAGAAGGCGCGAGGGATTCTGAGAATTCCCGCCGCCTTCTGTGAAGCCCTTATCTTTCTCAGTTCCCGCCCGCGCTCACCGCCGAACCTCAGCGATCTTCCAGCCTCGGGACGCTCTCGGGAGGCTCGGCAGCTGCGCTTTGCAGAGAGCGTTCCGCTATCCTTCCTCGTTTTCCCGATCTTGGGCCTTCTGGGACGTCCTCGTCGCCACCGCTGGATTCGGCTCGAAATTCTGATCAGGACGCACCCCGGGCGAGGTCCGGGGAGTAGCGGTATCGGTATCTTCTGGTTTCCCCAGGTTCTGTCCATGTTGAACAGGACTTGTTGTCGGTAGTTATCGCCGCGGGCGTGGTCCACGATTGAGGCAGAAGGCCCCAGTAGCGGCAGCTGCCGGTTTTGACAGCATTCGCTGATGTGAAGGGTGCCCATGTTATCCGTACAGTCAACCCGCGTAGTAAGGATGGGCAAACTTCCCAATGGTAGCCTTGCATCCGTGCCCCTTCGGCCCATGCTTAGCGACTTTCGCTGGGCAACCTCGTTCGAAAAAAACGATGACATAGGCCTCCAAGGCCCGTGCATCATCACCGCGCATCCTTCCTATACGGGTTGACTGGACTCACTCCGGGTGTCCAAACTGGCACGTTGCCGTTCCGAGGTCAGTTGCGTGCTGCGGACTTGCGGCCTCCCCTTTCGACGGACCAACTCTTCCTCTCTTCGGCAGCAAGTCGTGGGAGCCTCGTACAGTAAACCCACATAGTAAGGATGGGCCACCTTCCCAAGGGTACCCTTGCATCCTTCCCTCCTCGGCCTGTCCTTGGCTCCTTGCGTTCGCCGTGCCCCGCTCGAAAAGCTTCGAATTGGGCGTCGAAGGGCCTTGCATCCTAATGATACGGGTCGACTGTATACCCTGGCAGCTCCGCCTCTCAAGTGCACTAGCGTGCGTTAGCATCTGGTAATCGATGAGTCAGCTCCGCCTTGCTAATGCACTAGCGTGCTTGCATCTGACATTCGTCGAGGCAGCGTCGACTCAGCATCGACTTAGCGCCGACTTAGCGTCGATGAGCGTCGACTCGCGCCGATTCGCAAGATTACCACCCACCGAACCACCCACCCACCAACCCACCCGAAGGCCCTGATTTGCTCTTCATATCCAGTGAGGGGGGGGTCGGGGAACATTGAAAAAACACATGTGGAACCCGTACCCCCCCAACCCGAAATTCGAGTCTTCAGGTTGGGTTGGGGTGGTCTGGTAGCTAGTCACAAGAGCCATCAAGATGGTATAGGGGGTCCCATGGGTCGCCACCGAACCCTTCGCGTCCCGCCCCGGCCCTCGCGCGCTCTGCGAGGCGAGAGGGCACCGCCTCTTTGTGCGACGGGCTATCTCCTCGCATGGCAGCTGCGCTGCTGTCTTCTCGTCAAGGCGGAAGCCTCCTTCGTTGGCATCGCGCACCATTCCAGATGTTGATGTTTATTTGTTATGTTGTTGTTGGTGGTGGTGTTGGTGTTGAAGTTGTTGTTGGTGTTGTTGCTGTTGTGATGTTTGGTGTTGTTGTTTTTGTTGCTGCTGTTGCTGGTGTTGTTGTTGATGTTGTTGTTGCCGTTGCTGATGCTGTGGTTGTTGTTGCTGTTGTTGTCGATATTATGTTTATTATTCTTATTTAAAAAAAGAAAAGAAGCATGACATCAACACACCAAGGACTGATCACACGCGCCACCCCGATTTGCGCGCCGCCCGCAGGAGGAGTTCGACGCCACCCACCCCGTCAAGGACCGGCCGGCTCGGCCCCGCCCCGCGACTCTCCCTCCTCCTTTCCGGCGCGGGCCAGGCCAGCGGCGAGCGCCCAGCAGCGCTCGAAGGCGCCCGTCGCTCGCTGGGTCTGAGAGGCAAGCAGTCTGAAGTATGTCTGCACGGTCGGGAGGGCGGCAGGCGTGGCATCGAGGCTCTTCTAGGCTTCCCAGATGGGGTCCGAGTAGATGGGGTCGGAGGATCGCGCCGCATCGCCAATGCATCGGCGATGCGGGCCGATGTGGAGCCCGATTTGCTTCACGTCGATGGCGCCAGAGCAGCGCCGACGTCTCAGGTGCATCGCCGGTGTGTCGCAGATGCATCGCTGGAGCGTCGGCGATGCAGCGATATCCTCCGACCCCATCTACTCGGACCACATCTAGGAGGCCTCTAGCTTTGGGAACACCTCGAGTCAACAGACGCAGCGGGTCTAGCATCCATGGCCGACGCGAAGCACGGAGGCGATCCAGGGTGGCCGTGCAGCCTCAACGTATTGTGTGTATCGAAATCAATCTAGCGCTAACCTGCCTGGGCAGCTCGTGATCCCCCGCGGGCGCAGCAAACATGTAACGAAGGGGAGGAGGAGGAGGAGGAGGAGGAGGAGGAGGGAGGAGGAGGAGGAGGGAGGAGGAGGAGGAGGAGGAGGAGGAGGAGGAGGGGAGGAGGAGGAGGAGGAGGAGGAGGAGGAGGAGGAGGAGGAGGTTGGAGGAGGGGAGGGAGGAGGAGGAGGAGGAGGAGGAGGAGGAGGAGGAGGAGGAGGAGGAGGGGGAGAGGAGGAGGAGGAGGAGGAGGAGGAGGAGGAGGAGGAGGAGGAGGAGGAGGAGGAGGAGGAGGAAGAGGAAGAAGAAGAAGAAGAAGAAGAAGAAGAAGAAGAAGAATAATAAGAAGAATAAGAAGAATAAGAAGAAGAAGAAGAATAAGAAGAAGAAGAAGAAGGAGGAGGAGGAGGAGGAGCGTTCCCTGAGGGTGCTCGGATCCTTTGGGGATCGGCTGCCGGAGGCCCGAGTTAAGTTATGCTCCGGAAGCCCACAATCGGCAGAATTTCGGGGTTCGGATACGGGGGCAATGCAGTCGGGGGTCAGCCAGGGCACCAGATCCTGCAGGCTCCTGCGACGTCCCCCTCTGGCTGACCCGGATTAGCGAGCCGCTCGTGGCCGCGAGGCGGCCGCACATTTTGGCTGACCTGGGTTTATGAAGCCCTTCGTTGCAGTTGCGTTGGTCGTGCATTGCAGTTTTTTAGTCTCCTGCTGACCTGGGTCTGGTTGACCCGGAGTAGCAGATCCCCGAGATTTTGTTATGTCCAATATCTCTGATCGTTCTTCACGGGCTCAGGGAATGAGGGCCACTAGATGTTCCAGGGATTTACTGGAACGCCTTCTGAGGACAATTGTGTACCATCACAGCGCGTGCGTCTCAAATGTTTGGTTCCCATGTTCCAGTCTAATCGGCAGCTTCTTATTTCGAGCGTCGAATGGTTTTCCTTCTTCCTTCTTCAGGTGGCGGAAAGAGACCCAATAGACCTATACGACCACCCTTCGGGTGATAAGGAAGGCGGTTGTGGGGGGGGGAGAGGGGTGTAACCAACATTTGACTCGATCGATCTCACTATCGATCTCACTTAACGACAGGGCTGGACCCAAACGGTGAATGGCGATCACGTGGGGCGTGTCCGTTTCGATTTCGTTTTGCGGTAAAGGCGAATCGAAGACAAAACGAGGGAAACCGAAAACAGCACGAAAACGAAAAACAACGTTTCGCTTCAGCCTTGCTTAACGGGACACCACGGGACACTTGTCGATCTCACTATCGATCTCGTTATCGATCTCACTCAACGGGAAAACACGGGACACCACGGGACACCGCGGGACACTTCTCGATCTCATCATCGGTCTCACTATCGATCTCATTATCGATTTCACTCAACGGGCCACCATAGGACAGCACGGGACACCTGTCGATCTCACTACCGATCTCACTTTTTGGGACACCACGTGACACCTCGGGGCACCACGTCGATTTCAGTATCGATCTCACTATCGATCTCACTCAACGGGACACCACGGGACACCTGTCGATCTTATTATCGATCACACTATCGATCTCATTGTTGGGGATACCACGGGACACCTCGGGGCACCACCTCGATCTCAGTATCGATATCATTTTCGATCTCATTATCGATCTCACTATCGATCTCACTCAACGGGACAACACGTGACACCACGGGACACCGCGGGACACCGCGAGCCACCGCCAGACGGACGGACGGGCGGGCGGGGGAGAATCATTTGTCTTGACTTCGCCCTAGCAATGGCGGACACCACGGGACACCACGAGACACCACGGGACACCGCGGGACACTGCGAGCCACCGCCGGACGGACGGACGGGCGGGCAGGGGAGAATCATTTGTCTTGACTTCGCCCTAGCAACGGCGGGTTCGTTTCTCTCGCGCGCCCACGCAGTTTCGCCTCGCCCGCACCCACGACACGAACGAAACGAAACGATTTCCCGGTTGGGAGTCTCCGTTCCACTGCGATCTCACCCCCAACCTCCTACGTCGACGCTTTCCTTCATGAAGTCTCTGCTCACTTATTCCGGACAGTGACAATTGCTCCCCGCCACGCAGCGGTGCCGATTCAGTCTGGGAGGGGAGGAGGAGGAGGAGGAGGAGGAGGAGGAGGAGGAGGAGGTACGGTAGGCTCGTGTGGTGCTGACGACGACGACGACGCCAGGTTGAGCTGCCCAACCCTTTTCCCCATCCTCACCCATCCTCCTCAAGCCCCATCGCCCTTCCACTCCAACACTCGCCTGCCGCCTCTCTCCCCCCACACTCCGCATCAAACGATCCTCTTCAACCCTCCTTCCCAGCCTTCCGCCTGGACCCTTTCGTCGACCCTGTTCCTTCAAGCCTTCTCATCGACATCTGCCCCGCATCAGCCAAAATTGTCAACCATCCTCCTCGATCCATACCCACCCTCGTCGTCAATCACCCTCGCCTTCTCGACCGTTTTGCCCTCCTCAACCCTCCCCCTGAACTATCCTCATCTACCTTCCTACCAAACCGTCCAAAACCAACCTCGCCGTCATCCCGTCTATTCCTGCGACTCCTCCTCTCTTCCCCATCCAGCTCAACCTTCCCTGTCACTCCTACCAAAATCTTCAGGCTTCTCGGCCGCCTCTCCATACCTATTCTTTCTCCCTCCACCTTGTCGGGCCTCCTCCGTGGACGGGAGGAGGATGATGTTGGCTGTTTGAAAAGAGCGTTGGTGAGGAGGCTTTGGTATGAAGGCTCGATCGGAGGGATGACGATGATTTTGATGAGAAGACCGTGCGATGATGAGGGTTGTTCACGGAGTTGACGTGGATGGTTGATGAGGAGGGTTGAAAATTCTGGAGAAGAGTTGATTGGGAGGATTGGTGCGACGGGGCAGCAGGAGGACGGCCACGCCATCCGCCCCCTGAGCCCTCGCTCAGGATTGGACTGGCTTGACCCAGTCCAGCAGGCCCCCGATCAGACTGAAGGGGGGACCTTCTGCCGCTCCACCTCCGGCGGTCGGCGCTCGAGTAAGAGCTCTTGCACCGCCCCCACAGAAGTGCATCCGAGCGACCTGCCGAGCAGAGCCCATCGTGGACTTCTGGCGTGCGCGGCGACCCTCGTCGCCCCGTCGATGAGACTCCAGCGGGCTGCGGCTGGTGGAGTTACGGCCGCGCTGCGCATTCCAGGGGGACGATGAGCAGGCCGGCCCCGAGTCGGCCCGCCAACCCTCCGCCTGGGCCGCCATGCAGAACCGGAGAGTCGGTTCTCGAGGACAGTATTCATGCCGTTCCGAAGGGGACCCCAGAGTAAGGCACTCTTGAGACGGGCGATGCCGATTTGTCCAGCCCGCTCGGCTTCGCCCGAAAGGTCGTCGCGGGACGCTTTCTCTCGCTTGCCGAATTCTCACATGCACTGCTGCGTTCTCAGTAGTCCCTTTCGCCGGCGTCCCTTCTATAGGGAGCGCACCAAGTGTCTTGAACGCTGACCGCACTGTACAGGAAACGCGGGTCGAATTGGCGCCCTGCGTTTTGTTTCGAGGTGCCGCTGGGCGTGCGCTCGAACAGCCTCGCCCAGCCCAGAGGCCCACTGCGGCGAAGCGGAGCCGCCGTCGGTCGGCGTCGGCGCGGACGGCCCACTCTTTCGCGAGGCCAACGAGGGCAAGGAGCCTGGAATCTCGGAGGCCTGCCCACAGGCGGAAGAGAGAGACGTTGGCAATCCCTGCATCTCTGATCATCTCGGGCTGCGGCGGGAGGCCAATTTAGTGTTCATGTCCTTTCCTCGGAGTCGCCCATGTCCGTTGCTGCGCCTCTCGGTCTCACCGTGTGCGCCCTTCGTCGCTTCTTCGTTTGAAGGCTGGGTCCGCTCGAGTCGTTTATCGGCTCTTGCGTTTTCGGCAAGTGGGCTTTCTTTTTCGCGAACTGTCTGTTCCTGGACATGTGCGACGCGGCGCCTCAGCTCCACATAGTTCCTTCGCGCGAGTAGATTCGCCGCTCAATCCCTCGGCAAGCACATCGCCAGGAATTTGTTGAGACCACAGAGTCAGGCTGCCCCTTCCTTTCGTGGAGGGGGCTCGCGACCTTTGCTCTCGCCTTCCTCCCGAGGAATGCCGCGCCAGATTTAGAGCCCGTCCTGTTTTCCTCCGTGGATTGGTCCCGGGGCAAATCTTCTATTTGCGAGTCTTCAGCTTTAGATTCGTAGGTTGTGTGCGCGTGTGTGTGTGTGTGTGTGTTCTACCCACCGTGCGTCTCGGCACGCGTTTGATTTTTGGAGCGATAACCCCACTGCCCTCTTCCCGCGGGTGGTCCCAGGTTGGTGGCGGGGTTTCGGGATGCCCCCTCTCCGCTCGCTCTGTTTCCGCTCCGTGCGGCTGCTGCTGTTGCCAGCAAAAAACGACATGGACACGGGGGAAAGTGCCTGCCGCGGGACGCGTGGCGCGGCGGGGCGTAGGGGTAGGAAACGCTCTCGCTTTTTGTTTCTCCGCTGCCGCAGTCAATTGCGAACGGAGTTCTCCACGTGGACTCTCGTGGCCACGGTCGCGTTTCGGTCCGAATCTATTACTAATGAGAAGCATGGGCGCCTTCATAGGCGAGCCAGGGCCATATATCTCTAAAAGGGACTTCGGCCGGGCTAAAGTAGCCCTGTGCGCGCAGGCAGGTCGCGCAAGGCCGTCCGCGCAGGGGGCAGGGGGGAGGCGTGGCAGGAGGGGGGGACGTTGCAGGAGGCAGGGAGTGTCTCGGCAGGGAACATCGAGGGAATGCGTGGATTGCGGCAAGTGGACTGGCGACGGGTCCTGATTCCATGCAGAATCGGCGCGCTCCGTCGCAAAATCAGGCGGCGCTGGTATCATGTCTCGGGAGTGCCCTCCCTGATTCGCGCACTTGACGCCCACGCGCCAGATCCACGGATCCTTAATCCGTATCAGCGTGCGCCCGAAGGGAATTGCAGGCATCGTGATTGCCTCGGCGATCGGATCATCGGGGTGATAGTGGGTAGGGTGGAGGGACGAAGGAAGGGTTCCTTCACTCCGTCTCACCCCACCTCCCTTTCCTCCTTCCCGCTGGTCGGAAGGAGAGCTTTTGTGGACACACTTGCCTGAGACCCCCGGCTTGCCGCCGGTCTCCGGACCCGATGCCAGGAGATTGTGACTTGGAAGAGGCCGAGGCATTCCGTCCAGCTCACTTTCCCTGAGGCCGGCATCGGCAACCTCATGGGCTGGCAGATTTTGCCCAGCAAGGACATCGAAAGACGCAACATTGGGAGCAGGAAGTCTCGGAGCTTCGCGCGGACTTCTTGGATCGGCGCCTCTGGACCTCCTTGGCGCCTCCGGCGACGCCATGAAGGAGGGTTCAGCTGGTAGCTAAGAAATCCGCTCGGACCTCGGACAAGTCGCGTTGATGCCATTCTACGTTCTCCGCAAGGCGAGCGACATGGGCAGCTCGGCCACCGTCATCAAGAAGGTCCGCGACGGGGGGCTGGCTGCCCAGCGCCCGGAAGAGATCGCCGCCGGCGATTTGATCGTCGAGATTGACGGCCTCTCGTGGGAGATGTACGACAAGGCTCGAGCAAGAGTCGGCCACGCACAGATGCGGGTGGGGGGAGGGGGGAGGGCTTCGTAGAAGCGCCCCTGCTTCTCAGAAGGCGCGGGCCTGATCTATAGATGAACGGCTGGCGCCTTCTAAGAAGCAGCCTCCTTCTAAGAAGCCCTCCCCCCTCCCTCCATCCCCTTTTGCGCGCCGCCAAGCAGAACACTGCGCGGGGCGCTCCAACAGGGGGCCTTGCCTTCGAGGATCGCAGGACTCGGACGGGAGGCGGAAGGCTCACGGGGCCGCCGCCGCCGGCGGAAGGCGGCGGAAGGCGGGCGGAAGGCAGCGAAGGTAAGAAGTTGCCCTCCAAGAGATGACAATCTTTCATGATAGGAGGCCACATTCAGGAGGGGGAAAAACACACAGACACAATTAATCGTCGATTCCCAGAAAATATGGGAAAATATGGGAAGTGAGGGGGAAGACAAAAACCCAGAAAATATGGGAAAATATGGGACATCTTTTTAATTGTGTGTATTTATTTGTGTGTCCCAGGGCCCCTTCATGATAGGAGGCCACATGCGAACCCCACCCCACCACCCCACGATTTCTGAGGAGGGAGGTGGGGCTCACTGCGCTCGGGCCCTCCCGAGCGAAGTGACCCCCCCACCCCCCCTCTTCCAGATCGTAGGGCCATTGGGTAGGGTTCGCATGTGGCCTCCTATTTGGGTTCAGGGTTTCTGGACTCCGCGTAGGTCGGGCGTGTCCCTCTGCAGGCGGATTTTGGACGAAACATGGAAAACATGCAAAACATATCCACAGATTGTGAAACATAGTCGGAACATCGTCCCCCGACTATTGGGAGTATTTTCGAGTACTCCTCCTGTAGAGGGACATGCCCGACTAAGGATTCCGCCGCGTGGACGCAGAGATCCTCGGGCGTCCGCGCCGGTGTTTTTGTTGGGGTGTCGGCCGCCCGTGGGGTCTGCAGGGCGCCTCCCTGGCGGCACCCCCGTATAGGCCGCTCGCCCCGGCGAGTGCCGGCGGAGGAGTGCTCGGCAGGGACGCCTCCTTCCTCCTCCTTCCTCCTCCTCCTCCTCCTCCTCCTCCTCGTCCTCCTCCTCCTCCTCCCCCTCCCCCTCCTCCTCCCCCTCCCCCTCCCCCTCCCCCTCCCCCGCCCCCCTCCTCCTCCTCCCCTCCCCCTCCCCGTCCTCCTCCTCCTCCTCCTCCTCCTCCTCCTCCTCCTCCTCCTCCTCCTCCTCCTCCTCCTGCGGCCCGACCCAGAATTAAGTCGGGCCTGCTCCTCTGCAGGAGGAACATATACATATAACGGCGCACCGGGTCCGGGGGCCCGGGGCCGGGACCTCGACCGCAAATGTGGGCTCCGGGGGGGCCGGAGGCTCGTCGGGGCTTGCCGGAGGCCTCCCCGGTCAGACAAGAGGGCCCCAGAAGCGCCCAAGACGGCCCAAGAAACTTCCAAGAGGCCTCCAAGAGGGCTCCGAGATGCTGAAGATGGCCTCCAGACGTCCAAGGACGCCCCCAAGAGGCCCCAAGAAGCCTCCAACATGCGTCCCAAGAGGGCCCCTAGACGCAAAAATTGGCCCATTCCCTTCGTAAAACGTACATTTTCAACAAAGTTGCCTTTTGGGCTTTCCGACGTTACAGGACGGCCCAAGAGGCGCCCAAGACCGCCCCAAGACGGCCCAAGAAGCTTCCAAGAGGGCCCCAGGACAGCCCAAGAGGGCCCCAAGACGGCCCAAGAGGCGCCCAAGATGGCCCAAGAGGGCCCCAAGACGGGCCCAAGAGGGGGCCCAGAGGGGGACCACGAACCGCAAGCTCGAGCCTTCCGCCCCAAGAGGCCGCCAGGAGGCCCCCAGGAGGCCCCTCAAGAGGCCCCAGGAGACCCCAGACGTCCAAGGACGCCCCCAAGCCCCCAAGAAGCCTCCAACATGCGTCCCAAGAGGGCCCCTAGACGCAAAAATTGACCCATTCCCTTCGTAAAACGTATGTTTTCAACAAAGTCGCCTTTTGGGCTTTCCGACGTTACAGGACGGCCCAAGAGGCACCCAAGACCGCCCCAAGACAGCCCAAGAAGCTTCCAAGAGGGCCCCCAGGACAGCCCAAGAGGGCCCCAAGACGGCCCAAGAGGCGCCCAAGATGGCCCAAGAGGGCCCCAAGACGGGCCCAAGAGGGGGCCCAGAGGGGGACCACGAACCGCAAGCTCGAGCCTTCCGCCCCAAGAGGCCGCCAGGAGGCCCCAAGGAGGCCCCAAGGAGGCCCCTCAAGAGGCCCCAGGAGACCCCAGACGTCCAAGGACGCCCCCAAGAGGCCCCAAGAAGCCTCCAACATGCGTCCCAAGAGGGCCCCTAGACGCAAATTATCCCGGCAAAGCAACCTAACAGCGATGTGTAGAAGCATATCTGAAAGCATTCCCCTTAAGATTCAGACGAAAATCCAGTTGTCGAATTCTGCTGTTCTCGCAGTCGTAGTAGCATTCGCGATGACAGTCGCAGCGGCAACGGCAGTCGCAGTCACAGCCTCAGCCTCAGCCTGCCTCCTCCTCCTCCTGCTCTTTCTCCTGCTCCTCCTCCTCCTCCTCCTCCTCCTCCTCCCTCCTGCTCGTCCTCGTTCTCGTCCTCCTCGTCTTGCTCGTCCTCCTCCTCCTGGTGCTCTCTCCTCCTCCTCCTCCTCCTCCTCCTCCTCCTCCTCCTCCTCCTGGTGGTCCTCGTTCTCCTCCTCCTGGTGCTCTCCCCCCCCCTCCTCCTCCTCGTCCTCCTCCTCCTCCTCCTCCTCGTCCTCCTCCTCCTCTTCCTCCTCCCTCCTCCTCCTCCTCCTCCTCCTCCTCCTCCTGGTAGTCCTCCCCCTCCCCTCCTCCTCCTCCTCTTCCTCTTCCTGGTCGTCCTCGTTCTCGTCCTCCTCGTCTTGCTCGTCCTCCTCCTCCTGGTGTTCTCTCCTCCTCCTCCTCCTCCTCCTCCTCCTCCTCCTCCTCCTCCTCCTCCTGGTGGTCCTCGTTCTCCTCCTCCTGGTACTCTCCCCCCCCCTCCTCCTCCTCCTCCTCGTCCTCGTCCTCCTCCTCCTCCTCCTCCCTCCTCCTCCTCCTCCTCCTCCTCCTCCCTCCTCCTCCTCCTGGTACTCCTCCCCTCCCCTCCTCCTCCTCCTCCTCCTCCTCCTCTTCCTGGTCGTCCTCCTCCTCCTGGTCGTCCTCCTCCTCCTGCTCGTCCTCCTCCTCCTCCTGCTCGTCCTTCTTCTCCTGCTCCTCCTGCTCCTCGTCCTGCTCCTGCTCGTCCTCGTCCTCCTGGTCTTGCTCGTCCTCCTCCTCGTCGTGCTCTTGCCCCTGCTGAAAATGTGGCCCAGGAATGGGAGTTCTGGGAAGTCGAAGAGCACGAAGTTGCCTACAGTTGGCTACGGGCATTCAAAATGTGGCCCGGGAATGGAGTTCTGGGAACTCGAAGAGCACGAAGTGGCCTACAGTTGGCTCCGGGCATTCAAAATGTGGCCCGGGAATGGAGTTCTGGGAACTCGAAGAGCACGAAGTGGCCTACAGTTGGCTCCGGGCATTCAAAATGTGGCCCGGGAATGGAGTTCTGGGAACTCGAAGAGCACGAAGTGGCCTACAGTTGGCTCCGGGCATCCAAAATGTGGCCCGGGAATGGAGTTCTGGGAACTCGAAGAGCACGATGTGTGTGACTGTTGCATACGGCCCTCCAGAATGTGGCCCGGGAATGGCGTTCTGGGATGTCGAAGAGCACGAAGTGTGTGACTGTTGCATCCGGTTATTCTAAATGTGGCCCGGGAATGGCGTTCTGGGATCTCGAAGAGCACGAAGTGTGTGACTGTTGCATCCGGGTATTGAGAATGTGGCCTGGGAATGGAGTTCTGGGAAGTCGAAGAGCACGAAGTGTGTGACTGTTGGTGAAAAACGAGCCCGGCACCTGCCGCCCGGCAACTCCCAACACCTGCCCGGACCCCCCTGTGGAGTGATCTGCTGCTCTCTTTTGATCCCACTAGAAACCTATCGGTCTTCGCTGTTAGGTAAAAATTGCCCATTCCCTTCGTAAAACGTACATTTTCAACAAAGTTGCCTTTTGGGCTTTCCGACGTTACAGGACGGCCCAAGAGGCGCCCAAGACCGCCCCAAGACGGCCCAAGAAGCTTCCAAGAGGGCCCCAGGACAGCCCAAGAGGGCCCCAAGACGGCCCAAGAGGCGCCCAAGATGGCCCAAGAGGGCCCCAAGACGGGCCCAAGAGGGGGCCCAGAGGGGGACCACGAACCGCAAGCTCGAGCCTTCCGCCCCAAGAGGCCGCCAGGAGGCCCCCAGGAGGCCCCTCAAGAGGCCCCAGGAGACCCCAGACGTCCAAGGACGCCCCCAAGACGCCCCAAGAAGCCTCCAACATGCGTCCCAAGAGGGCCCCTAGACGCAAAAATTGACCCATTCCCTTCGTAAAACGTACATTTTTCACAAAGTCGCCTTTTGGGCTTTCCGACGTTACAGGACGGCCCAAGAGGCGCCCAAGACCGCCCCAAGACGGCCCAAGAAGCTTCCAAGAGGGCCCCAGGACAGCCCAAGAGGGCCCCAAGACGGCCCAAGAGGCGCCCAAGATGGCCCAAGAGGGCCCCAAGACGGGCCCAAGAGGGGGCCCAGAGGGGGACCACGAACCGCAAGCTCGAGCCTTCCGCCCCAAGAGGCCGCCAGGAGGCCCCCAGGAGGCCCCTCAAGAGGCCCCAGGAGACCCCCAAGAGGCCCAAAGGAGGCCCCGAGGAGCCCCAAATCGGCCCACAAAATGCTTCGAACCTGCTTCCAGGAGGCCCCCGACAGGTTCAGAGGCTCCTGAGAAGCTACGTCAAACTCCCAGCGAGAATGATCCTAGCTAGAACCTAAGCGCGCGCGAAGCGCGCGCGTGGTTCTAGTTCCCGAATAGTCAAGAAATTCTCTGGGGACGATTTTTCTACCATTTTTGCGAATGTTTGCGCATGTTCTTAAGTGTATTCTTAAGCTTTCCGCCAAGATCTGCCTGCAGGGGGACATGCCCGACCGAACCCTGGGCCGCGCCCCGGCGAGTGCCGGCGGAGGGGTGGTCGGCAGGGTCGCGCAGCCACGACCCAGGAGGTCGCTGTGCATCGGGGGCAACGTCGGGGTCGGCTGGGTTCAGGCGGGGACGTGTCGACCCCAACTCTCAGGCGATCGCAAACATGGATCAAGGGGGCGTGGATTGGCGACGGGGCCCGTTTCCACGAGAAGTCGCGCACGTCCGCCGCCGAACGAGGCGTCACTGGTGGCATTTTTGGGAGGGCACCTCTCCCGATCCATGGATTAGGCGACCGCGCGCCCAATCCATTGATCGCTAATCCATGTCTGCGCGCCCCCGAAACTCGAAGAAGAAAAACACACGCCATAAACATAAATACATGGCGTTCCGCGCGGGCTTCCTTGGATCCACGCCTGGCCCCCCCCCCGGCGGCGCCTCGGGCGCCGCCCCTGGCGCGCTCCGCGCGCCAGGGAAGGGGTCCAGCGCCGATCCAGGAAATCTACGCGGAGCGCCAAAATCTTATGTTTATGGCAGCTCTTCTTCTTCTTTTTCTTCTGATTCTTCTTCTTCTTCTTCTTCTTACTTCTATTCTTCTTCTTCTTCTTCTTCTTCTTTGTTTACCAATCGCTCACTGATCGCCGATAGGGCTTTCATGGTCCACCCCGCCTGTGAACGTGCGGATCCACTTTCGGGGGGCTGCCGCCGATCGATCCACGAGGCATCGCCGATTCCAGGCCGATCTTTCCCCCCCTTTTGAGCCGTTCCCCTTCGGGGACGCGCTGCCACGACCCCAGAGACCAGTGCGCACCACCGAACGTTGATGCGTGCCCAGTTGTGTCGGGTCGGGCGAAAGGGGGGGATTGGGAAAGGGGGGGGTACGAAATTTGCTGCATGCAGCTGGTTTCGGCCTCACCGAGGGGCCCATTCCTCGATACGTAGCCGCCTCCGGCGCCGGGAAAAATCAGCTACGTAGCTGATCCTCAAACCCCCCCTTTGCTATCCCCCCCTTTCGCCCGACCCGATTGTGTTTCCTTTCTTCAAGGCCACTGATTTCTTCGCAGTCGTCGACGAGGCGATCAAGGCGGCCGAGAAGAAGGGACCGCAGGCCGAGCCGATCAACCTCGTCCTGGAGAGGCCCGCCAAGTTTGTCAGGAAAGTCCGCATGAACATGGAGCGTGGGGTGCTTGGGCGGCAAGCCTGGCAAAAGGGCCTGGCGCGCTCTGATTTGATCGATCCGATCTCATGTCGATTCCACTGGTCCTCCGATGCGAGCTCAGTTTCAGTGGGATCTCTGGCGACGTTGTGCTTGCACGGCGCAGTTGCGTGTCTTGGAGCGGCCGATGCGATGTGGTTGGACCCGTGTCGATGCTGCCCAATCTACCGCACGTTCCCATCCGATGTGTTGAAACGATTCGATGTTAAATGATTATGTTTGGTAGAGACCAGTCCAAAATTCGTACGCTCTGTCGCCCAGTGCCAATCCACATCAGCATTTGAATGTGTATCTGCCCCCCCACCCCACACGACACAATGTTTGATAGGACAAGGTTCCCATATGACTTATACCCATCTCATGCGTGAGTGTGGAGGTCTGACTATTCGTGGGGCTCGTCCGCCTTCCGTCTTCACCTTCGGGCTTCATCCTTCCTTGCATCGCCCATAATCGATCGTGTTCAGATTTCCTCAAATTTCGACCACCTCGTACTCATATTTCCTCGCATCGACTCGCCCACTAGGCACCACATACATTCAGACTTGCTCACACTCAGACTCACCACACACTCAGACTCGATTCATACTCTCTCGCTCCCCCGACGGGGGTGGCGGCGCCAAGCCATCCTCATCCTGAGCTTCCCGAGCGCCTCCTGCCGCCTTTCGATTCAGCACTCAATCGCAGATGCCGTTAGCATCAGTGTATTGCGCCGTCTTCGAGGCCTCGCATAGGTTTCAGTGTGGGGGGTGAGGGGGCGGGTGCTCGCCGGGGAAGGGGGGAGACGGGGTCCCTGTTACAAAGCGGGGGAAGTTGAGATCTTGCACACGTGAAGCCTACGCGAGGACAATTGCGTGTCCCTTGACGACTTTGCCGCAATACCGGATGTATTGGGTACATATCTGCGCAATTTGGAAGACGGTAATTATAGACACCGAGTGTGTATCATTCCGTTGTTTCCAGCACGCGCGTGGTCCAAATGTATTATCGTATGTGTCGTCCACCCCGTTTTGTGGTATTGGATTATCGCTTTGGAGAAACAGCGCCCCGCGTCTCCTCTCCACTCCTCCTTCCCCTCCCTCATCCATCCTCCCGTCCCTGGCTCTGCCCTCCGTGCGCACAGTTCGGCACACCTGTTTGAAGCTTCGTGGCCTCATAGGAAGCTCTTCCGAAGCCCCCACTACGGGGGGGGGGGGCGCATGCGGTCCTCACACAGTTCGGCACGCCCCTCACGCTCCGTGGCCCCACATGGAGCTGCACACCTGTCACACGTTTCGTGGTCCCACGGGGAGATCCACGGACGCCCCCAAGAGGGGGGTTCGCATGCGGCTCTTACCCATTCCTGCACACCACACGTTCCGTAGCCACAGGGAGCTCCACCGAAGGCCCGAATGCAAGAGCCCGTTTCATCATTGTTCGGGGCATGACGGGCGTCATGGCCTCCGCTCCCCCCCCCAATGACGCAACGCTTCCCCCCCCTAAGTGCGCTCCGGGCACTGCCGCCATGCGCTTTGTGATCCGCGTAGGAATCCGCATAGGAGTCTGGTCCGCAGTCGTCGTCGTCGTCGTCGCTCGTGGCTTGTCGTTCGTCGCTCATAGTCGTCGTGCGCGCAGACGCGGCTGAAGCCTGTTTTTTATTCCGGGCCGATGACGGAAATCATCTAGGGGGGGGTGGAAGGGGGTTGATGTCGTCACGTTTTACGCCGGCGGCGTTTGGGAATATTTAGGAATGACGGAGGACGGGTGGCGCCAGCATTTAGGTGGCGATTGGCACCACAACGCTTGTGTACACCATAGTGCCTGCGTGCACCACAGCGCCTGTGCACACACCGCCTATGTGCACCACAGCAGCCGCGTGCAGCACAGCGTCAGTTTGTGCCACCGTGCCTGCGGGCACAACAGCTCCCGTGCACACCACAGCGCTTGCGTACACCACATCAGCCGTGTGCAACACAGCACCAGTGTACACCACAATGCCTGCGTGCATTGCAGTGCCTGTGTACACCACGGCGCCTGTGTGCACCACAGCAACCGTGCGCAACACAGCACCACTGTTGTATGAATATACAATGTTATAACGAATCCTTCTGACAAAATGGAGTGCTTGTGGATTCCACAGAGAAAGCAATCGAAAATTATCCTTACGGACAACGGAGCGCCGCTGGAATCTACGAGTCATCCCGAGTCCTCCCGCAATCACCCTAACTCCTCCCATCTGCGTCCAGGAGGTTCGAGCTAAATATGGCCGTCCGAGAACCAAGTGGACCGATTCAATCGACCATTCTGCGGTGCGCGCTGAGATTCACACGTGCGCTGTAGCGCCAACCCGCACGACAGGGGGTAAGGAGGAGGAGGAGGAGGAAATGGAGGAGAAAGAGGAGGAGGAGGTGGAGGAGGTGGAGGAGCAGGGAGGAGGGAAGAACGTCGCATTCGATTCTCAGCAATTTCCTGGCGTGGCGTCTAGTTGTCCGCAGCAGATCCTCACGTACATGCTCCTTCTACTTGTCCTATGCACTCAGACATTGTGGTGTACACCAGCCCTGCGTTGCACGCGGATGCTGTGGTGTAGACACGCGCTGTGGCGTGCACAGGCGCTGCGGTGCTCGCAAGTACTGTGGTGTACACAGGCGCTGTGTTGCACATGGTAGCTGCGGTGTACACATGTGCACAGGCGCTGTAGTGTACGCAAGCACCTAGGTGTACACGGGCGCTGCGTTGCACACGGTTGTTGCGGTGTACGCAGGCGTTGTGGTATACACGCGCATTGTGGTGCACGCGAGCGTTGTGGTGTACACAGGCGCAGTGGGGCATATCGCCACCTACATTTTGCTCGCGTCGTTGTCGTCGTCGTCGTCGTCGTCGCTCGTCGCTCGTCGCTCGTCGCTCGTCGCTCGTCGCGCGCGCGGGCGCGGCTGCAGTGCCAGAGCCACACGGCGGGGGGAGGGGGCGTGCCAGAGCCACACGGGGGGGGGTGGGGGCGTTACGTCGAACCCCCCCGCCCGCCCCCCCCCCCCCCCCTACCATGACGCCCGTCATCGCCGAACAGAAAGAAACGCGCTCCAAGGACTCCCACGCGCCCCCAGCCCAGGATGATGTCGGCACATAATCACGCTGCGGTCCCATAGTGACCCCAGCCCCCAGGAGCCCATGTCGTCACACCCTTCACACGTTTCGTGGTTCTACAAGGAGTCCCACCGACGCCCCAGGGAAGATGTTCTCACGTGCGTTTTCCCACACATTCGGGCGTACTTCTCACACGGTTCGTGGCCCCATCGGGAGTTCCATTGACGCCCTCATGGTGTGGGGGTCGCATGCGCTTTTCCACCCCTTTCGGCACACCACTCACACGGTTCGTGGCTCCATGTGGAGGTCCGCCGAAGGTCCCAGTGGCACAGCTCAAGTGTGTCCCCAGGCACATTTCGACAAATCCGTCACACACCTCGTGGCCCCACAGGGAGCTCCACCGAAGACCCGAGTGGCAGGGCTCGCATGCTCCACCAGGGTCATGCAGTCACACTTTTCAGATGTTTCGTGGCCCAGGGGGAGCTCGAACGAAGGCGATATTCACAAGTGCGGTGTTTACAACTGCATATGGTTGGGCCTCTCTCCCCGATTGCACAGTTTGGTTATGGGTCCTCGCTCTTGAGGTCTTTGTGTGCCTCCATGGTACCCCTACATCGCTATCAGCACGCGTTCAGCCTGGTGTAAATATGCATGTATGCTGCCTCTTCCTAGCCATGCGCGTACTTTCATGCCTTCATCTGGGTGATAGCGTTGTCAGGTTACCTTTGCCGTGTAAGTCGCAGTCTTTGAAGTTGCCGTTCGGAGGGTTATTTATAGTGCATTGTAATGTGGAGTCTGCGCACCGTTATTTTACCCACATGTTCCGCAGACGCAGATAATTGAACGGCAGCGCGCGTGATCCACTGCCACTATGGAGAGGGGGAGGAGAAGAATGTATATTAATGTTGGCTGAGACGCAGTTTCACTCTAGTCACCGCTTCCTTCCCAATCATCTATTTGTTGGTTGCCCGCTGTTTCGAACACTCGAAAGGTGCACATTGATGCCAAGATTCTGAAGCACATCAGGGAGTTGCGGACGACGACCACAACCGAGCTTCCGCCAATGTTCGGTTCACAAGAAAATGACGCTACTGACTCTGCTCAGGGTACTGACGCCAAGGAAAAGGAAGAGGTCATTGGTGCCAGTGAGGACGACGACAATGACGTCATTGGCGCTGGTGAGGATCCTCCTGACGAGTCAAAGAGTGATGAGGCGAAGAGTGATGAGTCGAAGGGTGAGGATGATCCTTGAATGCGACCAGGCGTGTGGCAGCTTTGTCGACGAGACAACTTCCTGCGACTTGGCGTGTGGCAACTGAGTCGAAGAGACAACCTCTTTAGTCGCTGTTTGCTTCTTAGCGCGGCACCTCAGCTCAATCTCGGATCACATGACATACAACCGTTCTGTTGCCACCGCTCCATGAACAAAAACACATCTGATTTGTGTGCGTCGCAATCCTCGTCGTCGCCGTCTTTACCATGTCGCACATGGCCGCCGCAGACTCAGTGTCAGATGCCTGATTTCCGTACAGCGCGCATTAGTTTGAGAAGTACAGATTGTTGCGTGACGGTTGACATTCGCAAGACTGGCCGCCGCGGCCCCGGAATGATTGTTGAACAGTTTGGGAACCGCGGGTATTGCATGATACCCATCAGGTCATTTAGTGGCCTTCGGCCCATCCCGCCACAGTGCTTGGGTCATTGACGATCGTTTTCTAGGAGGCCTGTCGGAGTCTCTTGGAAGGCCCTCTTGGAAGGCCTCTTGGGAGGCCTCTTGATGAGGCCCCTCGGGATCTTCTGGCGACCCGGGCCTGTCCCTCTATAGGAGGAACATTCAAAAATAGTTAAAAATAATATGGGTACGATGTGTTGAATATGTTTGGATATTTGTTGGGCATTTTTCCCCACATCCAAAGTGGGATTCTTGTTTTCTCTGCACACGCCGCGCAGGATCTCACACACACCCTTTCCTCTCTCTCTCACTCACCATCATCGCCATCATCATCACCATCAACCACCATCATCGTCATCACACGCACACACTCATCATCATTACCATCATCATCATCACCATCAACCACCATCACCGTCATCACTAGTCATCATCATCATCCTCATCATCATCGTCACCATCATCACCACTCGATCACCCAGTCACTCACTCAATTACTCACTCATCCTCAGTAGCCTTCGGAACCAGTGGTCCTCCGACGGTAGGACCGCCGCCACTCTCAACATCATCGTCACCATCTCCATCATAATCCCTCGATCACACACTCAGTGGCCATCATCATCATCATCATCATCCTCATCATCATCCTCATCATCATCCTCATCATCCTCATCATCAGCACCATCAGCACTCATTCATCACACACTCATCATCATCATTCGCTCACTCATCACTTCGTCATCAGGCGGGAGCCTCTGAGTGAATGCGAGGAAGTCTCAGGCGGGAGCCCCCTCCCTATGGGGCCCGCAGATCATGTTACTAATCCGAGCGGGTCATCGGAACCCTGTAACTGTCGTCACTTTTGGGCCTCTGAGGCTTGAATATGCAGGAAGTATCAGGCGGGAGCCTCGTCTGTGAGTGAATTGCGAGGAAGTCTCAGACAGGAGACCCCTCCCTATGGGGCCCGCAGATCATGTTATTAATCCGAGCGGGTCATCGGAACCTTGTAACCGTCGTCACTTTTAGGCTCTTGAGGCCTGAATATGGAGGAAGTATCAGGCGGGAGCCTCGTCTCTGAGTGAAGTGCGAGGAAGTCTCAGGCTGGAACCCCCTCCTTATGGGGCCCGCCGATCATGTTATTAATCCGAGCGGGTCATCGGAACCTTGTAACTGTCGTCACTTTTGGGCTCTTGAGGCTTGAATATGAAGGAAGTATCAGGCGGGAGCCTCTGAGTGAATTGCGAGGAAGTCTCAGGCGGGAACCCCCTCCCTATGGGGCCCGCAGATCGCGTTATTAATCCGAGCGGGTCATCGGAACCCTGTAACTGTCGTCACTTTTGGGCCTCTGAGATTTGAATATGCAGGAAGTATCAGTTGGGAGCCTCGTCTGTGGGTGACTTGCGAGGAAGTCTCAGGCTGGAACCCCCTCCCTATGGGGCCCGCAGATCATGTTATTAGTCGTCACTTTTGGGCTCTTGAGGCCTGAGTATGGAGGAAGTATCAGGCGGGAGCCTCGTCTCTGAGTGAAGTGCGAGGACGTCTCAGGCTGGAGCGCCCTCCTTATGGGGCCCGCCGGTCATGTAACTAATCCGAGCGGGTCATCGGAACCCTGTAACCGTCGTCACTTTTGGGCTATTGAGGCTTGAATATGAAGAATGTCTCGAGCGGGAGCCTCGTCTGTGAGTGAATTGCGAGGAAGTCTCAGGCGGGAGCCCCCTCCCTATGGGGCACGCACTTCATGTTCGAACCCGAGCGGGTCATCCGAGCGAGCTTTTTGGGCTCCTCAGCTCCTGCGGCCTGAACACGGGGTAAGCATCAAGGGGGAACTTTGTCTGTGGGCGGTGCGGGTAGCCCCGTCAGAGGACCGTCTCCTGTCGTCAGTTGGAGGTCCGAGGACGGATTTTAGAACTCGCTCCTGCGGCCTGAATACCGGGGAGTTACCAACCGGGAGTCTCGTCTGTCTGAACTGGTCGCGGGCAAAATTGTTGTTGTCATGGGCTTGCGTGCCCGAAAGGGCGATTGATAAGTCCGGGTAGCATCGTCCGAGCTGGTCGTCGGCGAACTTGTTGTAGTCATGCGACAGCGTGAGGGTCCGAGAGGCTCCGCCGCCCCACGGCCGCGGCGTCCGAGAGGGGGGCTGAGGAGCTGACGATGACGACGACGAGGAGCCGACGATGACGGCTACAAGCGGCCGCGCCACCAGTTCGGGCGCGCCCCCATCGCGCTGCACCTCGGCGATTTCCTGCAGTTGAAGCCCACCGGCAGCATCGGGCTCCTGACGGACGTGAACGAGCGCCTGGACGACGGAAAAGGGTCGTACAAGTACGCGGAGTCGCCGACGGTGGAGATCCAGCACGCCATCAGGGTCTTCTCTCAGATCCCTTGCGCTTTCGAGCTGAAGGGCACAAAGCGCTTCGAGCCGGGGGACCCTCTGATCGCGTTCTTGGGCTGCACGCGCGAGGGCAAGCGCTTCCCACCAGAAGTCAGGTCTGCCTGGGAGAAGACGTTGGCCTCGGACAACCACGGCGTCCTGGACCCACGGCACCAGCGCGATAATTTCCGGCTCGGCTACGGCATGGGCATCTATTGGGAGACGCTGGCGAGGTGGATCAACACGCGCGCTCGTCGCGACGCGCGGCGCCTCGGCGCCCCCTCGTTCTCCTGCAGGCCGTAGACGACTGCGGCGCGATTCAAGGCGACCCAGACGCAGGCCGGCGCCTCCTGAACGCCCCGAACATGCACAAGACGGGAGACATCCACGGCGTCTTGCCGGCACACGTCGGCATGGAGGTCCGGTTCACGGCCGCGCAGGAGGAGCTGGGGAAGAAGCTGGGGTTCGTGCAGGAGCAACGGGCCACCATCGTGCCCTTCGAGCTTCACGCAGACGACGAGCGGAACTACGAGGAGTGCGCGCCGGGCCAGCCCTTCCGCCCCCGCTTCCTACCGCAGGGAATTTGGCTGCAGGTGCACGGCTTCCAGGAGTCCCCGATCTACAAGGAGGTCGCCGAGGTGCTGCTGCAGGGCGCCGATGGCGCTGCCGACGACGGCGAGGCCGAAGCGTGGGCGAGGAGCTTGCTCATGTTCAGGCCCAGCGAGCAGGAGCTCACGCGGCAAAGCTCGGGGGCGCACACTGTGCGCCGCTCGGGGTTCACCCTGACGCATGCGTCCTACCTGGCCTCCACGCTGGCGCAGGGCCAGACGCTGCGCAAGGGCGCCACCATCGACTGCGCCAGGGATGAGGACGCTGGCCGCGTGGGCATGTCGGACGAGATGCGGTGGCTGCACCTCTACGTCATGTTCCCCCGCGCCACGCGCATGCGGAACATGCTGATCCTGCGGCCGCCCGCGCGAGAGTTCCCGGGGCGCGGGCCGCCGGCGCCACTGCGGAAGGCGCTCCAGGAGTTCGACAGGAGAGCGGTGGATTCCAGGGCTGAGACGGAGCAGCTCGCGGCAGAGCTGGGCTTCGCGCCGCCGCCCGCGTGAGCGCCGCGGCGGGCGCCTAGAGTCAGGGGCGGCCAGACCGACCCCCACCAAACCATGCCCTTTTTTCAAAGAAGGCGGAAGTGCGCAAACACAGGGAGCGAATGAGATCCTTCCTGCGAGCGTCGCTCTCGCAAGGCCGGGTCGCGGTCCCAGGGGCATGCGGAGAGACAACTAAATCGAGACGTTTTGGAAACCACTGCACCAGTCAAGCGCTTCGGGGACGAACATTAACGAAAGCACCAGCGCGGGCAGAAGTCGCGACGACGGGCCGGCAGAAAGAACGACGCAAGATAAGGAGCACGGCCCAAGGACAGTCATCGGGGAACGTCAACGGCGCATGAAATCCACGCGCTGCTTTCGAATGGCGTGACCAACGGTGGCCGGCCAGAGCGACGCGTCTGCGCTGGCACGGGCGTTTATCATTCAAAATATCATGCCTCGGCCCTGCGCTGCGCAGCGCAACTCTTTCTTAATGCGAATCAGAGCTCACGTGATGTCGGTGAGCCGAAACGCGCACTGAACCTGGGCGGCTAGGAAAAAAACGCAACCACCCCCAAAACGAACATATCCCAACGAAGCAGTCGCATGCTTTGCGCGCGGTGAAGTGCGACCGCCAGGGTTTGAACAGTCTTACAACATACCTGGCAAACCTTGAACGATTTCTCAAAAGTGATCGGCACACTCACGACACCAGAATTACCAATAAATCGTTTCGCGACTTCGGGAACTTGACAAAGGAACACCACGCCTTTTGTATATGGACGAGCAAGTGAAACGTCGCCCACCCTGACGTGCGCATGCGCGTGCAGGGACGGCGAATCGAGCCAATGATGGCCCAAAGAGACGGTCCTCCTGTGGAGGGGTTTTGCCAGCGCGTGCCCGCTACATTTCAGGAGCCTCGAAAGTGCACAAACAGACATATCATAGGATCCACGCTTGGCTCTATCAAAGAGCGCCCATGTCTGCGTTGGCAAGTATGGCTCCGGTGCCGAGCCAGGCGCATGAGTACGCGCGTGCTGCGCGACCAGGCTCACGCGCCCCATGAAAGACTGCGGACGTTTCAAGGCATTGGCCACGCATCCCCACAGACGCAACACAGTACGTTGCACATATTGAGCCAATGAGTTGCAAATACTGGGAACCAATAGTATGCCTGGGTGCAACATGCCAGCACATGCCGCACAAACCACACGTGCAACCCCCATCCCTCCATTTCCGCCTGATATCCCGTCCACATATTTTATATATCCTTCCCTCCCCTGCCGCCCCCGTTCGCCCCCCCTCCCCACCCTCTCTCAACTTCCCCCTCCTCCGCCCCCCTCCTCCTCGACCCCTGGCCCAGCTCGCCCTCGCGGCGGAGTGCATTGCGCAGCGCGTCGCCAGGCGAGGTAACTAAGGGAGGGAGGGGGGAGGGGGGGGGGAAGAAGGGGGGGAAGGGAGACAGGGCGAAAGACGCACACAGGGAGGGGGGCGTGGGAGGGGAGCCAGAGGAGGTAGGAGAGATACGGGGGGAGCGGGGGAGGGAAGGAATGCCGGAGGCAGGGAAGGAGAGGAGAAACGAGGGCAAGGGCGGCGCGGGCGAGGGGAGCTAATGCGAGGGGGGAGGGATGGGAGGGAAGGCGCACCAGGGAGGGATGGGGGCGAGGAAAAGCGAGGAAAGCGGGGGGAGGAAAAGAGGGCAAGGAGGAGAGACAGAGAAGGTGGGGATGTTGTGAGGACAGCGGAGAAGGGGACATAATGGAAAGAGGGAGATGGCGAGAGGCCAGAGCGAAGAGCAAGGGAAGAGCGGCGAGGGGGCGGCGAGGGAGTGAGAGACACGACGGAGCAAGGAAGGAGGAGAGGACGGCGGCGGAGTAACAGGGAGAAGATCGGGGAAGACCAGCCGGCCTGGACTCCCGCGGCACCTGCGACAAATCCTTGCCCTCCGCCCCCCAGCGAGGCCCAAACTGCACTCGCGCGGCTTGCGGGGGCCGCGCGACTGTCTTTTGGGGCTCGCCCGGGGCGGATCCCCGAATGAAAATTTCGAAAGTGTGGACCCGGAGCTCGTCGCGGCAGGGCATCATTTGGGCGCGCCCCAAACCAGAGGCTTCCGTGACGACCCCCCCCAGGACCCCCGCCCGTCTGTCTTGTTTCCCGACTTGTGCCTAAACCGGAGGGTTCCGCGACGAGTTCGGGGGGGCCCCGGGCGCAACCTAAACCGGAGGCTTCCGTGGCGAGGGGGCGCCCAAACCGGAGGCTACCGTGACGACCCCCCCCCCCCGGAGGTTTCCGGGTCGGGGGCCCTCTCGGGGCCCTCCAGGCCTTCCCACGCAATCTCGGAGGGCCTCAAGAGGGCTCCAAGAGAGCCTCGGGAGGGCCTCCAAATTTCAAATATATTAACAAACTTTGAAGCTCTCTTGGAACCGTCTTGAGCCCGCTCGAAGCCCTCCGGATCGCACTGGAAGGCCCTGGAGGGCCCGGGCAATGCCCCAAGAGGGCCCCTAGAGGGCCTCAAGACGGCCCTCGGCGAGCCCCACGAGGGCCACAAGGGGGCCCAAGAGATGCCCAAGAGGGCCTCTTGTGCACGACCACTTGCGTATATGAACACTGCTGTCCATGACCACTCTCGCTTTCGACTGCTATTGTATATCGCCCCTCCCTCCTGGCTCATCCCTTCGCCCGCGTCGCTCCTCCTGGTGATCAGGGCAAGTCGCCTGGTGATTTTTTGGACGGGCTGGCGGGGATACGCGGAGCGCCAACAATTTCTGGAAGCCTGCCTGAGGGCTCACGGGGGCCCCAAGTGGGCCCCGTGAGGCCCACAAGAGGACCTCGGGAGAGCCCCGCCTGGACCCCAAGAGAATCCAAAGTTAGGACGCGCGCTGCATCCTGATTCAGGAATGTCTCGGGGTGCACTTGATGCCCTGTGGGGGCATTCTCTGGGGCTTCCTGAAACCCGCCCGGAGCCGGAGGGGGCCCGTGTCGCCGAGAACTCGCTAATACGGCTTTAATAAAATCTAGTTACCCCCCAAGAGGGCCCAAATCCAATATTCAAAATGCTTTTTGGCTCTGGGCTATCTGGGGATCCATCCGGGGCCCTCCTGGAGCCCCTCTGGGGGTCTCCCCGAGGCCCACCCACAGCCCCCTCGAACCCATTGAAGGCCCCAGAGAACGCCCCAGAGGGCACCCGTCAGAAGGGGTCCAAATACATGTTTGGAGGGCCCGCATCAGGATGCATGGTGCAACATGAGTTTGGGCCGTTGCGTGGGCCACGCCGGTGCCCTCTTGTTGGAGCCGTCTTGGGCCGCGCTGGGGCTGTCCTGAAGCCCCGAGGATGCCCCGAGAGAACCCCGAGAGAGTCCCAAGGAGGCTCCTGCAAGCGACATTTGCACGCGCACTTTTACGTCGTATTGTTTCCGCGTGCTCCCTTGAAGCAAGAGGGTAAGGTTTTCCTCGATGTGGCATGCAGTGCCGTTTGCCCCACGGCGCGGCGTCGTGCTCAACAACAACGTCCCCCGCCATGCCATTGCGGTTGCATGATGCACCGTGCACCTTGACCTGGGGTCCACTGGGGGTCGGCTTGGAGCCCTCTCGGAGCTCTTTTGGGGGCCTCAGAAGACTTTTTTCGGAGCCTCGTTGCGGCTTCGGGGGGGGGGGGCCTCGCCCAGCTCGCTCGAGGGAAACCGCGAGCTCCGGAGTCCGACCGCCAGCATCAATCGTCTGGCACCCCCCGCATATCCTAACATTCTCGGTAACCTAGGAAAGCGGGGCCCCAGGCGTCAGCCGAAATCGACGGCGAGTTGTTGTCAAATCCCTGCAATTTCCGCGAGGGGCCACTGTCGAGCATTGATTCTGAGACAAACACAAAACGCACGCGAGTGGTTAAGATGATCGAGTCAACAGTAGCACCGAAAAGTGTCAGCGGGCAGTCATATGTTTCCTCTAGTTGCGAAGCCGCTCGCGCCCCAAGATTCAGATGCGATGGTGCCGCATATGAAAACATTGTAGACGCACGCGCAAGAATGGCAGCGATGCTCCCATTGCTCCTTCGCCAACTCCGCCAAACAAGCACGCATTCCGACTCGATCGAGGAAGCTGCGCGGCACACTTGCTGCACTTCATGACTTCTGTTTGCGAATTCCTTTGGGGCGGCGCCGGTCGTGCCCCGAGAGCGCTTCGCGCGCGGGCAATTCGTTTTGCTCGAGTCTGCAGCCAAGCGCAAAACTCGTTACGCAAGGGTATGGTTTGCTAGGGGTCGGTTTGGCCGCGCCCGATAGAGGCCCGCGAGGTTGTCCCAGCGGCTGGCCCCCGCGCCCCTGCGGCCTGCGAGGTTGCCCCGACGGCCTGGCCCGAAGGGTTGCCCCGACGGCTTCGCGATCTAGCCGTCGGCAAACGCGCGCGCTGGCCGACGCGGCGACGGCGCCGAGGAAGATCGAGTTGCTTGCCGCGACCAGGGGGAACAGGAGGTGCACATGGAAAAGAAGCAGGAGGATGAGGAGGGATGGGGCATGGGGGAGGGCGACGACGAGGAGGAGGTGGCGCGAGAGGAGGAGGAGGAGGAGGAGGAGGAGGAGGAGGAGGAGGAGGAGAAGTAGGAGGAGGAGGAATAGAATGAGGAAGAGAGGGCAGTGCAGAGGGCGAGAGGAGAGGGCGTCCGCCAAAGAGGAGGAAAGGGCAAAGGGTAAGCTACACAGATTTTCATGTGGGGTCCTACCGTCGGAGTAATACATTGTTCGTCCAAGATCCGCCTGTATGGGGAAACGCCCGACCTAAAGCTATTGGGGGCCTGGGGGCTTGCTCGGGAACCATCTTGGGGTACGCGTAGGGCCCCACGGTTCCCTTCGAGTTCCCCCCTCCTTGGGGGCCGATGAGGAGAGAGAATGGATTCGCGATGCTTGCGCAGAGGAGAGGCGATCAGTTGCGATGGACGCTCAATGTTAGCAGGCGAGGGCCCAAAACAGTGTGTGTTAGTACATATCTGCGTGGTGCAATCGAGGCGAAGCAGCATGTGTGGTGCCATCTATCTAGTACAATCTATGTTGTGAAATACAGATTGTGCAATATGGGTGGTGCAATGTATGAGTTGCAACCCACTCTGACCGTCTTGAAGCTGTCCTCTCCACTGCTCGTGCAAACATCCCACCCTCCCACCCGCAACTTGGTCGCAAGACCTCTTAAGACAAGACCGTGAAGGTATGTACCACATGACACTTGGCCACGACACCGACGCCGACAGCGACAACGACGACGACGACGACGGCGCCGCCGACACCGATTACGACGACACCGACGACGTCTCCAAGACTGCGACGACGACAACGACGACAACGACGACGACGACGACGCCGACGACGACGACGCCGACGACGACGACGATGACAACGCCGACGACGACGACGCCGACGACGCCGACGCCGACGACGAAGACAACGACGACGACAACGACGCCGCCAACGAAGACGATGACGACGACGAGGGAGGAGGGAGGACGACGGCGGGGACAACGACGACAACGACGAGGGAGGAGGGAGGACGGTGACGACGCGAACGACGAAGAAGGAGGGAGGACGGCGACGCCGACGACGACAACGACGAGGGAGGAGGGAAAACGACGACGATGACGGCGACGAAATGGGACGACGACGACGAGGGAGGAGGAGGAAGGACGACCACGGCGACAACGACGACAGAAACGACCACGACGCCAAAGAGGACGACGACGACGAACACGACGACGCCAAAGAGGACGACGACGACGACGACGACGACGACACGCCCTCCTCCTCGACCGCTGGGTGCTGTTGCGACAATTCCTCGTTTTTTTTTTCGGCCGCCACGCGCCGTCACGACAGCGACGTTGCATTGCCAGCCGCCGGCGCCGTTACGACAGAATCGTGGTTTTGTTTTCCGTCGCAGGCTGCGCACGTGGAAAATGGCTCCCTTGGCCCCCTGGGGGCTTCTGGCTTTGGGGCGGGTTCGGGACCCAACCTCCTCTTCCTCTTCCTTTCCTCTTCCTCCGTTCCTCCTCCCCCCTCCTTTCCTCCTCCTCCTCCCGGGGTTGGGTTTCCTGCTTTCCTCACGGCTGATGCCCCCGAGCGGGGGTCGGGGCCGTCCACGAGCCCCTGGACGCACGTTCATTCTCATCCTCTTCCTCCTTCTCCCTTCTCCAAGCCCTGGCAAGGTGGACATCGCGGGGCTACACGTCCCCTGTGGTGGACCGGGGCATTGCGGGTAGATTTCGCCCATTGCTTTGGGACCGGACCCGAGGTTACGTTGGGGGGCGCTTCCCGATATGCAGGGTACGTCGTGCCAAATTCGGAATAGTTGTAGGACCCCGTGGAGGGCTGGCGATCCAAGTTTTTTGCGTCTCTCCATTTTTTCGGTCTCTGGGAAACTCTTGAGGCCGAATCGGCGCGAGTAGCGATCTTTTTTTTTTTGACCACGGCCTGTTGGCTACCCAGCGAGCCGGGCATCACACCGTCTATCTATGAGCTTCGCGTGTCAACCAAAAAAAAAAAAAAACGAGGAAAGACAGAGGACGACGTAGGCGACGACGACGGCGACGACGCGGGAGGAGGGAGGACGGCGACGACGACGACGACGCAAGAGCGCGCGCGCACGCTTTTGTTGAAAATCCGTGTTGCGAAACCTAATGTGTTTGTACGTTTTTTTGGACACGATTTTGACATCCTTCCGAAACCGATGGGTTTTGAAGGTTTTCGGCATACGCGCGCGACGACGCGCGCGTCTGCACTTTGTTCCGTTTTTTGCAGAGGATTCTCGCGACGGCACACGCGCAAGGGCGTTCGACAGATTTCGACATGCGCGCGCGCGCGAAGCCCGTTTGGTAGCATTTTGTGAAAATCTCAAGGAACCTATGGTTTTCTTAAGATTTCGCAAGAGCTCACGCGGAAGTTTTTTTGCAAATCAGTGTTGCGAAACCTTCTGTTTTGGTATGTTTTTTTGAAGCTCGATTGCGAAATCCTTCCGGCACCGAGAGTTTTTTGAGGATTTCGGCATGCGCGCGCGATGGCGCGCGCGTGTGCTTTTCGTTTTTTCTGTTGCAAGAGATTCGCGAAAAACTCTCATGTTAGAACAAAAGATGTCCCCGCGTATCGTTTTGTACAAGGGAACCTCAGGGGGGAGATACCAGTTGGCCTGGGACATTGCGATTTCATATTTAGGATGGACATGTGGTCAGAATCATATGTGATTTACATCGGACGCGGGGGGAGTGATAACGCCGGTGGGGGGGGCGTATTGTCTTTTAAGAAAGGAGAATCTGTGCGTCTTGCAATCTGTGTGGTGCAGTCTATCCGCCTGCTTGCGGCCAGTCCAGCCACCGTGCCAGCCCAGCATGTTGGCTGCGACTGTTCGAGGAGGCGCGGGATGCCATACCGTGTGTCGCCTCGTGTCGCCAGGCTTGGGAGAGCCGCTGTAAGAAACAGGAGAATATGAGGACGATGCGTGTCATGACGATAATGTTGATGATGTTGCTGCTGCTGATGATGGTGATGAGTATGGTGATGATGGTGATGAGGATGCTGGATGATGGTGATGGTGATGGTGGTGATGGTGCTGAGGATAATGTTGTTGATGATGGTGATGATGATGATAATGGCGATAGTGATGATGATGATGATGATGATGATGATGATGATGATGATGATGATCATGATCATGATCATGATCATGATGATGGTGATCGTGATCGTGACGGTGATGGTGATGGTGATGGCCATGGCGATTGTGATTTTGATGGTGGTGCTGATGACGAGCACGACGATAGCGATGTCGATGACGTTGACGATGACGATGGTGCTCATGCTGCTGATGATGATGACGACGACGATGCTGATGATGATGATGATGATGATGATGATGATGATGATGGTGATTCATATGAACTTCGTTTGGGCCGTCTTGGGGCTGTCTTGGCCTCCTGTGATGCAGTCTTGGCGGTCCCTTCGGGCCCTCTTGGGCAGCCTTGTGGCCCTCTTACGCCAGCATGGGGCTCTCCTGGGCCGTCTTGGGCCCCTTTTAGCCGTATGGTGCGTGTCTGGGTCCCGTCTTGGGCCGTCGCAGGGCCTTCTAAGGCCGTCTTGGGTACAACGGGAAGCCCTCTTGGGCCTTCTTGGGGCCGTCTTGGATACCTCTTGGGCCATCGTGGAGTATTCTTGGACCGTCTTGAGCTGGCGGCAGCCCAAAAAGGCGAGAATGCGACAATCATTCAAATACCCAAGGGGAATCACTGGTGTTTGCTTCGCCTGACCCTGCTGCAGGTCCTCTTGTGGCCATTGTGGGCCCCCTTGGAGGCATCCTGGGCCGTTTTGAATCAAACATTCGATTGCCTTGGGGCCATCTTTGACCGTCTTCAAGGCAGCTTGGATTTTGGTTTCCTTGGCTGCTTGCACGGCACGCTTTGAAAGCTCAGGACGCACATCCATAGTTTTTGATGGGGGATCGTGGCTTGGGAACTCGGGAGACCCCAGATCGCTTCAGAGCAGCGCCTGGGAATGCGGGCAGTGCACGATCCTCGAGCGGGTGCGCGTGGGATGAGGGGTCCAGGAGTTAGCAGCCATGCGGGAAGTGCACCATCCTCGAGCGGGCGAGCGTGGAAGAGGGCTCAGGTGTGAGCTGCCATGCGGGAAGTGCACCACCTTCGAGCGGGCACGATGGAAGTAGCTTCGGACACGAGGGGCGATGCACGCAAGAGTCTGCTAGTAGAGGGAGGGGTTGTCCCTATTCGAATTCAGGAAGCGCTACCAGACAGACCTTGGCGTTCTTGCTCGCCTCAGCGTGCCGGGGGGGCACCGTGGCGAGCTCGGTTCCATCCATATTGTGCAATCTATGTGGTGCACTGAATTTCGACAGAGAACTTGGGGTGGTCAACGCCACTGCTCGCGTAATAATCCCCAGGTGTCATTGCGCCAACACCGCAGAGCGGATTTCGCTCGGAAAACAATGAGATGGGCCTGGATTGTCCTGGAGAATTTCGTTCCGGATTTCAAAGTGAATTTCGCGCGGATGTTGTTTGACCAGGAATGAAGACTACAACAAGTCCACGTGAGATTCATTTCGTTTTTCGCTCGCCGTCTCGGGGTTCCGCATTGGCTGACATCCGCGCAAGAATTCGCTGCAGCACGCCCGCAAGGTCGCTGCAGTGACAGGTGGGGGGGCCAGGCGGGGGGTCAGGGTGGGCATCCTCGGACGGGTGGTCCCAGAGCAGGCTGCGAGAAGGGGGGGGGTTGCCGCGGCGAGGTCGGGAGGCCCGGTGGGGGGGCCAGGGGGGGCGGGCACGGTGGCTTCCGGAGCCCGATTTGTCGGGGGGGTGGCCCCCAGAACAGTGAGCCAGAACGAGCGAGGCGTGACGGGCTCGGTTTCCACCACCACCACCATAGGTTGGAGGGGGAGGGGATCCTCTTTCTCCTCCTCCTCCTCTTCTTCGTCGTCCTCCTCCTCGTCCTCCTCCTTCCCCCCTCCAGCTTATGGTGGTGGTGGTGGTGGAAAACGCGCCCAGCAAGGCGGGGTGGTGTGCGGGGCAGGAGGTCGGGGGGGGGCAGGTGGAGGGTCAGGGCGGGCTCCAGGCCAGGAGTTGCCTGGGGGTCCCCAGGACAGATGGCCAGACGGTGGGTGTGCCGAGGCGGAGTGAGAGGTGAGGGTGGGTGCGGGGCTGGCTTCTTTGCCAGGAATGGGACGGTGGAGGGATGGTGGGGAGGGAGTCCCAAAGGGGGGGAGAGTGTCGGGCCAGGTGGAAGCGCGGTGTCAAGGCATGCTCGGTGTAGGGTGGGGGAGGATCTCTTACACGCCTGTGGGGTCGGCGGATGCTGGAGAATATATCCTGAACCGCTTTCGTTGCGCAACGAAGCGGCAACGCAAAATGTCGTCTTCTTAGGTTGCAGTTCCAGGAGGTGCTTCCTGAGGTTTAGTCGACTCCTGGGAGCCGCCTGCGATCCGACGCGATGCGATTAAATGTGTGAGGCGGGCCGCGATTTCGATTCGATTCGATCCAGCTCGACTCATCGGCATCGGCCTGAGCCAGCCGGGGCCGGGAGCACCGATCCGATTCGATTCGATCCCGGATGTCCGCTGGCCCTTTGCAGTCTACCACGTCCCCACTGGGCCACGGTAGCTCAGCCCCACCGTCACACTGCCCCGGTTGGGGGGATAAGACCCGTCGGAACCCGTCGGGAGCAGGCGATATCCCCATCCAGCAAGGTGAATCGAGCCACGCCAGCGGAGATAGGGTTAAGTTGGGCCTGTCCCTCTACAGGAGGAACATTCAAAAGTAGTAAAACAATAGTCCGGGGAGGCTTTTTTTTGTCCTTCGCATGTTTTGATTATGTCTGATGATGTTTTAGATATATGTTTGATTTTTCTTGCAAGTTCCGCCTGTCGGGGGACACGCCCAGCCTAAACAAAGGGATCGGTTCAACGGGGCTCAGGCGCTGGAGGTGCGGGATCCTCGATCCTCGATCCTCTGCCCCGCCCTGCGGCGCAGCAGGTCGCGCCCTTCGTGGACGCGGGGCGCGCTCGCACAGGCGCCGAGGACGGCCCGCCGCGATCGTCGCCGCTCCCCTGCTGCTGGCAGGTGGGAGGCAGGGGCCCCCAGCAGGGCTGACTTTGATTCGTCCGATTCGATTCGCCTCGATTTCGACGGATTCCGGTTCTGGTTCGATTCGACCTCAGATTCCCATTTGGGGTTCGATTTCTCAATGGAGGCTTACTGGCCCGCGGACGTTTGCCGATTCGACTTGTCCCGACTCGGCTGCCGATTTCCGTAGATCCGATTCATGTCGATCGCCGATCCGATTAGTCGATTCGATTATGGGCTCTTCTGCCCCCAGTCACCGAGTTATCGCCGATAGCCGAAGAAGAGAAAGATGCATCAACATACATTTTCGGCGCTCGGATAAATCATTCTATGTATGCACTCTTGTCTGTCTCTGGGTAGTGGAGTGGCATGGGTTAACCACCTTGCGCAGGAACGTGTGGATGCGTGATCAGGCTCCTGTCGCCGATCAACCGGCGATGTATTTCCAATTTCAGGTCGATGTTTCCCCCCTGACCTGGCCCCCCCCTGACGTTCCCCGTCACTTCCTTGCCAGCGATCAGCCCGAGGCGGATATCCATGTGCGTGTTTGTTTGCACCCGTGTATTGTCGCTCGCCCTCATCGTTTTCGCGCCTAGCCCAGCAGCAGCATGCGGTATAGTGTCCCCGCGGCGAGTTTCAGGGGCAACCTTGTATGGAATTCAGCTCCTTATTTGCGTCCCGATGTATTCAGCCCCATTTCAGATTCCCAGAGCCCCCAGATGATGAAAACTCGTCGTCGGTAGTCGTCGAGACTCGAAACGTTTTTCGTAATTTTCAGTCCCCGTGGGCTTTTCGTCGGGCCCTGGGCCCGTCAAACACTGATCCCAGATGTTAAATCTTGCGCAAGGTGGACCCGGTTCGAGGATCGAGGATCCCCGTCTTCTTCGACCGAGGGGTTCTACGATCGAGGTTTGAGAATCTGGTGTCGAAGATTTTGAACGCATTTGGCTTTCCTATCCATCTCTACGGTTCGTTTGAGCGGCCATGTTCTTTCTCAGACAGACCTAGCTCGCAACACCGATGCGCACCACAACCAGAGAGGAGGAGGAGCAGGAGGAAGAGGAGGAGGATGAGGAGGAGCAGGAGGAGGAGAAAGAAGAGGAAGAGATGGACCAGTAGGCCAAGCGACATTCTGAAACGACGCCCGTCGTTCCCGCTTAAGATGGCGTGGGAAACCAGCGACCCAGCCCCCCTCCCACAGGCCTGTGTCGCTGGCAAACGACGACGACCGCGACGACGACGGCACCCCACGAAGACGCCGACAGACGACTGCGACGACAGACGACGACGACGTGCCCGCCCGACCCGCCAGACGACAATCACGCTCACTAGGGCCCGCCCGCTCGCTTGCACGAAGCCCTGCCCGCCCGCGTTGCGCAATGGTCCGCCCGAGATGTCTTCAGGGCCAGCCCGACCAACTCGCCAGGGCCCGCCTGCCCCACCGCACCGTGCCGCCCGACGGGCGGCACGGTGCGGTCGGCGCGTTCGCGAGATCGGGCGCCGGCGTCCGTGGGTTTCGATGGTTTTGCTGTGGAAGGCGTGACGTTCACACACAGACAATCGATGAACGTCTTGGGGTGTCAGGGTTGGCTTTCTTGTGGAAGGTTTCTTGTGGAGTGGCCTCTACTGTGGGCCAGCACGAAATGGCGTTCGCTTTGTTGTTCCGCTCGCCCGATCCGCCCATTCGGGTCCGTCCGCCCGACCCGCCCCTCGGGGTCCGACCGCGCGATCGAATGACGGCTTCAATCTCCCGTGCACGTCGCCGCGGTGGTTCGTTGTTGTCGTCGCCGTTTTCTTCGTCGTTGTCGTCGTCGTCGTTGTTGTCGATGTCGTCGCAGTCTTCATCGTTGTCGCCCGTCGTCGCCGTCGTGGGTCTTCGTTTTGAAGAGACAGCGCCCCGCGTTCCTCTCATCTCCTCTCCTCCTTCTCCTCCTCCTCCTCCTCCTCCTCCTCCTCCTCCTCCTCCTCCTCCCCATTCTCCCATCCCTGCCTAGGTCTGCCCTTCGCACCAGTCAACCATTTCGGCTCATTTCTCACACTTTTCGTGGCCCCATAGGGAGCCCCCCAGAGGGCCCCAGTGTCTGCGCTCGCATGGCTCCACCACACACATGTCGGAGCACTCCTCACACGTGTCGTGGCAACCTAAGGAGCTTCACCGACGGCCCCAGTGGTTGCGTTTGATTGGCACCACCGCATTTAGGCACCCCTCAAACGCTTAGTGGCCCCCAATGGAGCTCCAACGAGGGCCGCAGTGGCTGCGCTCGCATGGCACCGCCGCACCCTTTTCGGCACACCTCACGCGTTTCGTGGCCACATGGGGAGTTCCGCCGAAGGCCCAATGACTGCGCTTGCATGGCACCACCGCGCCTATTTCGGCGCCCTCCTCACATGCTTCGTGGCCACATAGGAAGCTCCACCGAGGGCCCCGGTGGCTGCGCTCGCATGGCACCACCGCGCCCATTTCGGCACACTTCTCATACGCCTCGTGGCCCCCCACGGAGCTCCACCGAGGGCCCCAGTGGCCAAGTGGCTGCGCTCGCACGGCACCACCGCACCTACTTCTGCACACCGTTCACACGTTCCCTGGCCCCATGCGGAGCACCACCGGATGCCCCAGTGGCTGCGTTCGCATGGCACCACCGCACCCATTTCGGCACACCCTTCACACGCGTTTGCATGCGCCGACCGCGCCCATTTCGATACTTCCCCCGCGCGCTTCGTCGCCCCACAGGGAGTTCCACCCAAGACGATATTCACAACTGCGTTACTCACAACTGCATATGGTTGGATCTCTCGCCAGGGTAATTTTTCAATTTAAGAGCCCCCCGGGCGCTCCTCAGGAAAAGCCTTGACCGCTACTATGCCAATGGCCCCTCGTTTATAACGACAGCAGCAACATCAAGAGCACCAACAAGAACACTCATCTTAAGACTGTTCGTTCTTACACGCGTGCGCGTCAATCAACATGTTGCGGCAGCAGGAGAAGAAACATAATGTTTTCCCTTGAGCCACAGTAGGGAGCCCCACCGAAGGTCCCAGCGCTACCGTCCGCATGCGTCCCGCACACCCAGTACAGCGCTACGTGGCCCCATAGGGAGCTCCACCGAAGGTCCCAGTGCTACCGTCCGCATGCGTCCCGCATACCCAGTACAGCGTTTCGTGGCCCTCCTCCCCTTCCTCCCTGCGCTTCACCCACCCAGTACAGCGCTTCGTGGTCCCATAGGGAGCCCCACCGAAGGTCCCTGTGCTACCGTCCGCATGCGTCCCGCACACTCATTACAGCGTTTCGTGCCCCCCTCCCCCTCCTCCTTGCGTTTCCCTCATCCAGTACAGCGCTTCGTGGCCTCATAGGGAGCCCCACCGAAGGTCCCAGTGCTACCGTCCGCATGCGTCCCGCACGCCCAGTAGCGCGTTTCGTGGCCCCACAGGGAGCTCCACCGAAGGTCCCAGCGCTACCGTCCGCATGCGTCCCGCACACCCAGTACAGCGTTTCGTGGCCCTCCTCCCCCTCCTCCTTGCGTTTCCCCTATCCAGTACAGCGTTTCGTGGCCTCACAGGGAGCCCCACCGAAGGTCCCAGTGCTACCGTCCGCAATGCGTCCCGCACACCCAGTACACCGTTTCGTGGCCCCATAGGGAGCTCCACCGAAGGTCCCAGTGCTACCGTCCGCATGCGTCCTGCACACCCAGTACAGCGTTTCGTGCCCCCCTCCCCCTCCTCCCTGCGTTTCCCCTACACAGTACAGGGCTTGGGGCCCCATAGGGAGCACCACCGAAGGTCCCAGTGCTACCGTCCGCATGCGTCCCGCACACCCAGTACAGCGTTTCGTGGCCCTTCGTGGCCCCACGGGGAGCTCCACCGAAGGTCCCAGCGCTACCGTCCGCATGCGTCCCGCACGCCCAGTACAGCGCTTCGTGGCCTCATAGGGAGCTCCACCGAAGGTCCCAGCGCTACCGTCCGCATGCGTCCCGCACACCCAGTACAGCGTTTCGTGCCCCCCTCCCCCTCCTCCTTGCGTTTCCCTCATCCAGTACAGCGCTTCGTGGCCTCATAGGGAGCCCAACCGAAGGTCCCAGTGCTACGGTCCGTATGCGTCCCGCACGCCCAGTACAGCGTTTCACGTTTCGCGGCCCCATAAGGAGCCCCACCGAAGGTCCCAGACCTACCGTCCGCATGCGTCCCGCACACCCAGTACAGCGTTTCGTGGCCCTCCTCCCCCTCCTCCTTGCGCTTCCCTTATCCAGTACAGCGCTTCGTGGCCTCATAGGGAGCCCCACCGCAGGTCCCAGTGCTACGGTCCGTATGCGTCCCGCACACCAAGTACAGCGTTTCGTGGCCCCATAAGGAGCCCCACCGAAGGTCCCAGCGCTACCGTTCGCATGCGTCCCGCACACCCAGTACAGCGTTTCGTGGCCCCATAGGGGGCTCCACCGAAGCCCCCAGCGGGACCGCCCGTATGCGTCCGGGAAATGTAATTTGGCATTTTCACCCGCGCAGTGCACCGTTTCGTGGCCCCATAGGGGGCTCCACCGAAGCCACCAGCGGGACCGCCCGTATGCGTCCGGGAAATGTAATTTGGCATTTTCAACCGCGCAGTGCACCGTTTCGTGGCCCCATAGGGGGCTCCACCGAAGCCCCCAGTGGGACCGCCCTCATGCGTCCCGGAAACCCAATTTGGCATTTTCACTCACTCAGTAGAGCGTTTCGTGGCCCCATAGGGAGCTCCACCGAAGCCCTCAGTGGGACCGTCCGCATGCGTCCCGGAAACTAAATTCGGCACACCACCCACAGTACAGTGTTCCCCCCCGCCCAGTGCAGCGCTTCGTGGCCCAATAGGGAGCTTCACCGAAGCAGATATTCACAATGACGGTACCTGGTTGGGACTTTTGCCAGGATATTTTTTGCGACCCAATTACGAAAGACCGCCTTGGCCCGGAACCAAACCTGTCTGTGTGCACCCCGAAGCTTTACCAGTGCTGACCCGCTGGCGAAGGATGCCAACCAGAGCCCAGACGGCGTGGTAAAGCTCACGTTCCCGCAGATGAAGGAGATCATGGAGGCGATTCCTCCCGCGGCCCGCCGCCCCCGCATCGAGCGACTGCCAGAGGCACACCAGTTGGAAGTCATTACCAGCCTGAAGCATACCCCTCTCATTGTCACAGGTGTCACCTATCTCCATGCCGATTTGAAGAAATGATCCGCCCCTCAGGACGCATCCATAAGGCTGTCGTCTTCGTTCGGCGCATAGATCACAGGGGTTTGGATAAACTCGAGGCTGGTTGAATCGCTCACCGGGCGCCAGCCACTGGTAGCGGCCAAGAGGGGGTAGGATACCTTGACCGTTGCCATCAGATTTCCGTGGATGTCATGGACTCTTAGTTTCCAGTGTTTCAACCCGTTTCTTGGGGGCGGGCCCGCTGGGCCGAGCACGTGCCCCTGGCCATGATTTGCTTCGCCCGTCCTGAACATGGCCCGAGTCTTGCCGTGTTCAACTGAACTGGCGTCTTGGACTCGAGCAGTGGCGAGGCGACCTGGCTTGCCTATAGGCCCGCCAACGAATGCTCTAAGAAGCTTCTGTGGTCTGCGCGAGATGTTATTTGAGCATGTTTGGCTGGGGCTGTCTTGTTTTACCACATCGGTTGGATGTTACAAGAGCATTGCTTTTGTGATTAGAACATTCGTGATTTCTAAGAACACTTCGTGGTAGGCCTACAGGGATGCCAGGACGGTCGGTCCCTGCGCAATGGACATCATTGTTTTAGCGTTTCTAGGCCCCAGCAATCGAGCCGTTGAAACAATGATTCGTTGTTTTTTGTAGGCCGGCGGTGTCGAGCCAGTGATGAGCGCTCGGCTGCTCTGGTTGATCCGAGGAAGCCATGGGCGCCCTGCAGCAACGTGCCCTGGTGCGGCGCCCAAAGCACGCGGCGTTTATCATCGAGCTTCGCGGTGTGGTGCGGGGGCCCTGCCGACACCCGACGTAGGGCTGGACGCGCGGGCGCAGGCCAGAGACTGAAGCCGTGCGCAGGCGGGGCTGGCGGACAACGGCGCGCGTGGTGTCAGCGAGGCGGGAAGGGCGCGCGGCAACGAGCGGTCCTGGGGGGCTCTTTGGGTCAGAGGGCAACAACATATGTACATGTACGCGGTTCGTTTTCGTCGAATTGCGTTTGAACGTGGAGGTTCGTGCACGCAAGACCGCGGAGGGCGTACATGTACACATGTCGTTGCTCGCTCATTGGGAGTCCTCCTGGGGGCTTCTTGTGGCAGTGGTGCAGGTGGTGTGGTGCGGTGCAGATGGTGAGTGCTTCCCGCGGAGGGGGGGGGGTCCCGTAGAGGACTACAGTCAAGGGAGGAGAAACCACCCGAACCGGACAATTGGCGTTTGTTGGACGTCCCTTGGGCGTTTACTAAACAGCCCCGCCCTGTTTGATTATTTCTTTGGGCGCGTTAACTAAACAACTTGACGTGTTTGGGTGGTTATTATTGGGGTGGATTTTTGACCTCTGTACAGAGCCCTGCCAGGCAGCCCACGGCATTATGTCACGCCTCAGCGTGCCACAGGCACGGCGGCGGATAAATGTTAGGAAATAATCCGCAGGGATTTCTTGGATCGGCGCTAGGCTGAAGTCTGGCCTGTCCCTCTACAGGAGGAATATTCAAAAATAGTAAAAACAACAGTATGGAGTATGTGTTGAATATAGTTGGGGTATGTTTTGAATTTTTGTACAAGATCCCCCTGTAGGGGGACATGCCCGACCTAACAGTAGGCGTCGCCCCTGGAGCGCTCCGCGCGCCAGGGGGGGGGGGTCCAGCGCCGGTCCAAGTTTTCAAAACATATATCTTCACATAGTCTGTTCCCTCAAACGAGGAGAGGGGGGCGCGGCAAGCATGACGCCCACGCATGCGACGAAAACCAGGCCGAGGGGCCTGACGCACACACACACACAAACACACACACACACACGCGCACGCACGCACACACACACACACACACACACACACACACACACACACACACACACACACACACACACACACACACGGCTAGGGTAGCTGTTGATGACGGGGCAGCAGTCCTTCGATGTGGACGTATTGGTCCCATCGCCGCGCATGTGGACGAGGCGGCCTTGACTCATGATTCATTGCCTTACCAGGGCCTCAGTGACCATCACCATGATAGCCGTCATCATGTAGGAAAGAAAATCACAAACATACAGAAACTTGCACGCAGAGCGCGCCAGGGGCGGCGCCAGAGACGCCGCCAGGGAAGCCCAGCTCCGAAACAGGAGATCCTTGCAGAGCTCTGAGAAGTTGTTGTTTGTGCGTTTTTTATTTCTCGACTTTCGCAGCGCCGTGCTTTCGCTATCACGGCCTAGCGCAGGTCCAAGAATTTCACGCGGAGCTCCGAAAGTTACGCTCGTGCCTTTGTTTGTTCCTGTAGTCAGCCTATGCCCATCCTCCTACCCATCGTCGCCATCGACATCTTCCGCGCTGTGCCTCGCTTCTCACGCAAGCTCGCCGCCCCCTTCCTGTCGGAGGTGGACTTCCGACTCCTGCGCTCGCAGCTGCACTGGATGGAGAAGTCCGGCCAGTGGACCCCCAGTGGCGTCATTGTCCTCCTTCTCATCCCCCGACCTCTGACATCTTGGAATTCGTAGAATGCAATAACGGCATGGACCTAATTGTTCGGCGCTCCGCGCAGATTTATCGGCGCTGGGCCCCCTGGCGGCGCCTCCGACGCCGCCCTTGGCGCGCTCCGCGCGCCAGGGAGGGAGGCCCAGCGCCAATCCAAGAAACCCGATCGGACAAGAACGGGAAGCTCCGCCAGCGGGGTTCCAAAGTGCACCCCGTACCCCATCATCAATTTCTACAACCAACAAGCGGTCCACGCCAAGGGCGCTTCCCGTCATCCGCTCGGACCTCAACAAGTTTCAGAGTACGCAGTGTTTTGGTCCCCTAGCTGTGCATACGCCCTTCTGGCCAAGCCAGGAGCGCATGGCGTATACGCCGCTGCTGGGAGCAGATATCTATAGATTCCGTCGCCCCGAGTCGGGATCCCGCAAAGGGAGGCAGTGACCAGGGGTCTGTGTGAGTGTGCGTGCGTGCGTGCGTGCGTGCGTGCGTGCGTGCGTGCGCGCGCGTGCGTGCGTGCGTGCGTGCGTGCGTGCGTTCGTGCGTGCGTGCGTGCGTGCGTGCGTGTGTGAGAGACAGAGAGAGAGAGAGAGAGAGAGAGAGAGTTCGATCGGTTTTTGCCCCGAACCGCCCAACACAGATGCCCCCCGCCGCCGGCAGCTCCCGATGGTTGCCGATTGGTGGGGTATGCGGGGGGCATCAGTTTGCGGAAGCTCTGTGCGCCAGCGGATCGAACTCGCGCCCCCCCATCAGGGTCACCCCCCCTTTGGTGGATTCTGGCTGCAGCGGGATCCCCAGGGAGCTCTGGTTCACATTTGGGGAGGCCGGTGCTTTCTGGGCCTGTCGGCCGCGGGAGGCAGAGGCTCGGTGTGCGAGGCGTGTCGAGATTTCTGGGTTTCCAAGCTAACGACCCAGGAGGAGGAGGAGGAGGAGGAGGAGGAGGAGGAGGAGGAGGAG